CGGCTTCATAATCATGTGAATTGGATGTTACATCCAGTAAAGTTGGAACTGGAATGAAGTCCAGACCTGTTTGATGTTGAAAATGGATTAATATGAACGGCGTGTTTGGAACACATGAGATGCTGAAGACAGGGGGTACCGCTTGAAACGGCGCGGTTGTATTTCCCAAAACTGTGCGATTTCATTTGGTAAGGGTAGCAATTATATTTTCTGTGTTTATCATCGCCCGACCGACCATTGTAAATTTACTACTGACACCCCCTCACCCACCCCCCAATAAAATAAAAATAATAAATAAATAAATAAATAAATAAATAAATAAATAAATAAATAAATAAATAAATACAATAAATTTAAAAATTAAATAAATAAATAACAAATAAAAAACTTTCGTTTTATGTCCTCGTTTTATTTCCAACGCGGACTTGAACCTAAAACGTACCGACTATAAAAAAAAAATCAAGAAAAAGTACTGTCGGAAGTAATAAAAAAACTGTATTTTCTCATTTATCTCTACAATTTATGTAGTTGATATGTGAAAGTGTGAAATATTTGTTAAACTAAGTTCGGCCTAACTACAGTCTCAGTGGTAGAGAGATAGGAAACGAAGAAAAAGGACTTTACGAAGGGGAAATTAGTACAGAAATGAGCAAGGCGGTTTTTTTCAAAGTTCAAAAAGAATTATTTGGAACAGACCATGGCTTTATGCAAATAAGTGTGCGACGATATTGTATTACAAAGGACACTTTTTAAATGCCCAATTTGAAATGAGACGTAGATTCATTATAAACGATAGCTGACGTAAAAAATAATAACTTTTATGCCGAAACTATTAAGGATGTAGCTACCATGCAGTCTCACTGTCACTATAAAAAGAAACAGATAGGAGGGGTCGCCTCAAAAGCAAAACCTGGGATAGGGCTTGGCGATAGAGATATCAGCTAAGATAAGATAATCCTTTAGGGCAATTATACTGGGGAGGTACACGGCACATCATAACAATTTACAAATAATATCCAGTCCTGTCGATCTTCGGGTGGTCATGCCACCTATATACTACGATGCGTTTCTATGGTTTTCGGGTATCATACTCTCTTACATATCTCAACATAAACTGTATGAAAGAAAGACACGTAAGATGTTAATCAGTAGATGAGACATAGTCAACACACATGAAAAGGCACAAAATATCTTTGAGATGACCCCTTGTGCCTGTAGGCAGCACGTGCATTTCATGCCAGGTGAGTCGACGGTCCCTCGTCATACCTGGCTGAGCGACCTAATTGCCATCTATAGTCTGATCTATTGTTTTCAGCAGCTATTCGTATTTTTTCGAAGTTTTGCCCGATTTTACGAGTAAACATGCTTTTCTGGATATCGTATTACGCATCCCACTGAACGCCCAGTTAGGCCGAAGTGGGTTATTTCGACATATGCTATTTGCAATTTTGTCAATTTTAGGGATACAGAGTAACAGCCTAAAAACATTTTTTTTCTATTTCCGACAGTACTAGTCATATAAATTGTTTATCTATAAATCAGTCGCTACCACATTCTAAAGAACGCGAGACATTGTAATAAGTAGTAGAGTGAATGAGAATCAAGAACATAATTGAGATAGCTGCCCTAAGTGAAGCAGTATCTGTAACTACAAATGAACTCATCGTTTGGTTATAATCCATATGTACATGATCTATACAGTAGACTCTGTATTATCCGACATCTGAATTATCTGATGGTAATAAATAGCTAGCCACACTGTATACTAAATCCAATGATATACATGTACATGTAAATACAGAATTTGTTTTTTTCCCTTTTATTTATCCAGAAAATAGCTATTAAGCATTAATTTCATGATATCAGCCAGTTACAATGTATGGTACTGTTTGACACGTATTCAAGGAAGGAGACATTGAATTATCCGACATTTTTTCCCGGTTCCAGTGAGTGTCGGATTATGATGCCGTCCCAATGGTTCCTTCGAATATGGCGTCGGTCTGTAACAGCATGGGGATCGATCAGTAGGGATACGATTACATGTGTCAACCACTTCAGCGAGTCGGACCACCCGATCCCGTTAGCCACGCCTTACAAGAAGCATGGGTTGCTGCAGACCAATTCTCTCCCCGACTTTACACACATGTAATATATGTACATAATATGTTTGGCGTGCAAATGTGTTCGATCAATCGTTCACAACCACAATAACAAGGTGTTATGACCTATTCACAGCCTAACATTGTATGCTTTCTTTGGATTTGATCGGATGTTCATGAATAGGCGCCAAACACCATCTGGCACTGCCATATGTTACAGGTAAAATATTTTAAACCATAACATCTTTATCAGTTCACTTAGATCACTTGGAATGAACAGAAGCGATGTTCATCCTTCCGCCTGTGTCAAGATTTGGCTACTCATGATCTTGACAACAAGTTTCTATGGATATGAATTGATGTATAAAATGACTGGTCAATGTGTTGACAACGGGAACACAAAGATATTTTGCACGTACGGTACAAGGACTAGATAAACGCACACCCTCGAAATCAACCACAGCTAACATTGGACTCTGGACCCTCCATGGATATATTGACAAATGCAAGTTGTTATTTCTAGGACGCCCGTGTAACCTAAAATGTAGCAATACTGCAAAGAGTATCTTTTGTGCATCTGTCACACAGCCTACGTCATCTAATGCTATAACGGCAAATCTTTTAACAGTTGCTAATAAGTATAAGCTGGGCAAATATCTCAGGTCCTATGTGAACCATGGCATATTTCTACCAAAAGATAAATGGCGAAAGGTGGTGTTTGATACAATTCACGGTTATGAGGAGCAAAGGCTCAACAAGGTTTCCATAAACGCCGGTATGTTTCGGTATAGGAAAATCCATGTAAAATCGCATATCTTGTTCTATGGGATATCGGGGGCGGTGGGGTAGCCTAATGGTGAAAGCGTTCGCTCGTCACGCCGAAGGCCCGGGTTCGATTCCCCAGATGGGTACAATTTGTGAAGCCCATTTCTGGTGTTCCCCGCCGAGATATTGCTGGAATATTGCTAAAAACGGCGTAAAACCAAACTCAGTCAGTTAATCAGTTCTATGGGATATCATATTTCTTTATCCACAACACAGATCAATGCTGCAATTTTGTATTCGTATATCATCCCGTAATATTGTTTCTAAACCATGTACACTTTGTGATAAACATGCCTATGATTACGACTATCATGTGCTATTGCACTGTGAGAAAATTCTGCAAAGCAAAAACAGATTTTTTTCTTATCACCTAGATGTTGAAACCTATGTCCAATTTGAAATGCTGGACGAACAGGACATGTTGTCGTTCCTGTTTGGAGGTGATACTTACCCGATTGAATGTATGGAGATTTAAACCTGGACTGACATTATAATCATATTTGCATCGTTTGTGTATTCCATCAGACAACCTTTGTTATGATTGATATGTTGATATGTTTCAATTATAACTCACTTTACTTGTACATATGTATATTGTTTTCTTTATTGTCCATGCTCGTTTGTAAATGAATGATAATGTATATCTTCAAAATAACATCTGGAGGAAATAAAGATCTCTCTCTATGTACATGATCTATATAAGTTTAGGTTATGATACCCGTCCCAATGGCTTTTTCGAATATGGCGTCGGTCTGTAACAGCATGGGCATCGATCAGATGGGATACGATTACATGTGTCAACCACTTCAGCGAGTCGGACCACCCGATCCCGTTAGCCACGCCTTACATGAATGCAAGTTGTTATTTCTAGGACGCCCGTGTAACCTAAAATGTAGCAATACTGCAAAGAGTATCTTTTGTGCATCTGTCACACAGCCTACGTCATCTAATGTTATAACGGGTTGCTGCAGACCAATTCTCCCCCCGACTTTACACACATGTGATATACGTACATATATGTTTGGCGTGCAAATGTGTTTGATCAATCGTTCACATCCACAATAACAAGGTGTTATGAGCTATTCACAGCCTAACATTGCATGCTTTCTTTGGATTTGATCGGATGTTCATGAATAGGCGCCAAACACCATCTTGCACTACCATATGTTACAGGTAAAATATTTTAAACCATAACATCCTAGCTTTAGAACACACCGCAAACATCAGAACGTAATAATATGAACACAAGGTCAAACTTGACTAGAATATATTTGTAAACAATGTAGTTAAATAGACATTACAGCATGAAAGATTTCTGATCACTGACTTACAGTCAGGGCTGACCATACCAGGAAAGATTGCTGAACACTGACTTACAGTCGGGACTGACCACACCATGAAAGATTGCTGAACACTGACTTACAATTAGTGCTGACCATAGCATAAAGGATTGCTGAACACCGACTTACACTCAGTGCTGACCATACCATGAAAGATTGCTGAACACTGACTTACAGTCGGGACTGACCACACCATGAAAGAATGCTGAACACAGATTTACAGTCGGGACTGACCACAACAGGAAAGATTGCTGAACACAGACTTACAGTCGGGACTGACCATACCAGGAAAGATTGCTGAACACTGACTAATAGTCGGGTCTGACCGTTTCAAACAAGATTGCAGAACACTGAATTACCGTCGGGGCTGACTAGTGCAAAAATGATTGCTGAACACTGACTTACAGTCGGGGCTGACCATTGGCAAAAAGATTGCTAAACACTGACTTTACAATCGGGGATGACTGATTGCATGGCAGATTGCTGAACACTTTCTTCCAGTCAGGGCTGACCACAACAGGAAAGATTGCTGAACACTGACTTTACAGTCGGGCTGACCATAGTGTGGAAGACGCACGCACGCACTCAATCGTGCACTCACTCACTCACTTTATGATGGTAAGAATTGGCTACCAATGGCTTACTCGGCGTGTACTCCAACAGGTGTTGCGTGTGAGTTATAAAGCCTTGTATAGGTGTTTGGAGGCACACTCAGTCATCATGGCTCTCAGAAATAAGACAGGTGTCATAGCGCTTGTAGGTGCCGCAATTGTTGCAACTTTAGTTCTCATAATTACAAGGGATCGGCTTGCAATGAAGAACCAAATCAGTCGTATGAATTCATTTGAAGGTAAGATATGATCATTTTACCAATCACCTCATACCTATTGCTGTGCTGGAACATTGTGACACGTTTGCCTGTATGTCTCATTTGTTAACATGTACAAGGGAAGTCCTCACAAAATGGGTTGGACCTCTTACGTACCTACGTTTCTTCTCAGTGATACGGTTCTTGAATACAATCACGCCTAGTTCATGTAAAACGTCATGATCTTCAGAATTTGTCGAATGTTCGTTGAGTCAGGTCTGGGTACTTCATACAGTCTTCATGTTTGCGAGATGTTATAATTATTTTGTTTGGATGAAAAATATAGTATTAGTAATTTGTCTTATGAAATCATGAACGTTCGCAAGGGAATATGTTTACCATGGTGTAAAATACCCATAGCAACCAACCAAGTTGTCTGTACGCTATCTTAGAAACTTTGTGGGTTGTGTATGACTGTGTGTAAGGGAGACATTTTTATTTTCTGTGTTTCTCATCGCACGACCAACCCTTCTAATTTTACTCCCCCCCCCCCCCTCAACACACACATACACACACACAAAAAAAGAAATAAGATGTAATAAGAAGTACAATAAATTGGAATCACGAACATTATTCAGACACTTCTCTCTGTATTAAAGTCCCCCAACACCCCCTCACCCCCGACCGACCCATGTTCCGAATTTGGTGGCTACGGGAAACACATAAAACAAATGATGTCTGATGCTCTCCCCCCTTCTCTTTCTCTGTGTCCCTCCCTCCCCCTCTCTCTCTCTCTCTCATTCTATAGACTATCTACCTTTCCTGTTATTATCCCTGTGTTATATTTCTCATATTTCAAATAAGTTACATGTCTTCCAAAAATGAATAATGCGCAGTATTTCCACACAGTATCAATATTAAGTGAACATAGTTTACTTTTAATGATATATACCACACACACACGCACGCACGCACGTACGCACAGACACCCCAACCCCACCCCCCCACCGTTAGCGGACATGTTGTATCAGTTGTCATTATTTGAGTGTGAATATATTACAGAGCCAGAATCGTACAATATGGTTTTCGCACTGATTTATTGAGGACTAAAGATATGGTTTGGGGCTTCTTCTTTTTCATTTGTAAAGCTTATATGAACAAATGCACATAACTTGTATAAAGAAAACCAAAAATATACTTGTATAAAGTTCGATATGAACGTTAGTGGAAACAGCATCACGCTGCGCGTATGCATTTCAGCAAGACATTTTACAGATATTGTGCAGCTGGCAGCCATCATATTTAAATGTGTAACGACCTTTAAGTAGCATGTTTATGAAGTCAGAGGAAACTTCAGTAAAACGTCAATACGGCGAACGTCACTGAAACGTTCAATAAAATCATCGATCATCCCAGCTTAGTGGTAAGCAGTGGGATTTGTGATGTTAAATATGTATTGAAGTGAACAGACGCCTATCCCTCGCTCAAGTTTGTTCGTGAATACATGGGGAAATGGGTTCTTTTTCAAGTTTGACCTACCTTTGTTGACTAAGCGAGTTCGGGAAGTATTAAATGAATTTGATAATATGTAGCTTATCAAATGACCGAAGGTTCATTATTAGTATCATGCACACACAGCTGAACATCTGCTGAACATTAAACTAGATCATAAAACGATCTCTACACAATGTCATTGAATTTTGGAGTTTGCTTTGTTCAAAACCACCTATTGTGTATACGGATACAGTCAATAATTGTATTGAGAAGAAATGGGGTATATTCGATTGGCACCACCTTGACTGGCACAGCGACAGTTTCTTCTGTTTCTCGTTGGTCAGTACATTTTTGTTCATCAGGTCCAAAACTGTCCAGTATATACTTCAATAGTTTATCATAATATGCTTTTGATGGGATAAATAAACTACAAAACATGGTAAATGTCCAAATGATATCTCCAGTAGCGAATTACTGTCAATGTCCGATCGATTCCCTCTTTCCCAATCGACTGACGTTGCTATTATGATAATGTTCTGCGGACAAACATGGCTTCAAGTCAGTTGATACAATTTGATGTATGTTTGAATGGATCATGTTTGAACATTGTATTCTGATGGTAGTACTGAAGCTACTTAACTGAGTGTAATTATTTCTCATCCATCATTCCAAAGGCACAATTCCACACATTTTATGACCTATATTAAAGATATTTGGGCATATGCACTCACACTAGATTCCTACTGATGCAATAAAAGCCTTACGACTTGCCTGAAATCGATAATTGAAACTTCGACGCGAACAGCTTCCAAATAGAGAACACTTGACATATATGGAATGAAAATTTTAATCCGTACATCGAATACTGTCGCACGCGGTGTTGTCGGTGTTTGCCGAACTGGTTTCAATCACAAGTGGCGTTATAGGATATTCGTAAAGAGCGCTCCAAAGGAACTCTATGGGCTTCGCTTAAAATAATGTTCGACCTGTACAGGGCGCGAGGGTCGATTTAATGCAACGTTGCATTAATTCATTCGAACTTTTTAATTTAATATTGTAATCTAAATCCGTAATATTTTGTTTGGAATAATCCATATGGTAGCTTCCCCGATGGCTGATAGTTAGCATTATTGAGAGAAATGCATTATTTATTTTGAGAGAAGTGTGGTTTGAAATAGTGCCTTTAAGAATGACATTATTTTAATAGTGGCTCCATAATTAGCAATATTATGAATTAGTTGTGCTCGCAAAGTCTCGTTTGATAATTTTTTTATTCGTAATATATGATAATTATGATATTCGACTAATAATTTGCGACAGCAAGAAATCTGTTCACTTGTACCAAATTACTCCACAAATAACTGTATCATTATGTATCATAAAACAATTGGGGCGGTGGGGTAGCCTAGTGGTCAAAGCGTTCGCTCGGCACGCCGAAGGCCCGGGTTCGATTCCCCAGATGGGTACAATTTGTGAAGCCCATTTCTGGTGTCCCCCGCCGTGATATTGCTGGAATATTGCTAAAAGCGGCGTAAAACCATACACAGTCAGTCAATCATAAAACAATGTCCGAGGTATCACAGGTCCGGTTGTATGTAAAAGAAATTGCTACGCTACATGTATTTCTAACCATTGCGAAAATGAACTACTGGTGCCGACAACCGTACAAGTAATACGTAATCCTATAATCTAGCAAAAACTAAATTAAAAGAATAACCAAATTTACGATACCTGATAAAGTAATATGTGAAGTTTCCATTTATAACGATACGTTGTCATTGAATGACGAATCATTCATAATCTGCAACTCGAGGTAAATGTAAACAGATACTGCGTGCATTACAACTTTGTGTGCATGTGAACTATCTGTATTCATGATTTGCGTAAGATTGGCTTTGGCAGCTTGATCAAACAGGCTATTTTAATGATTTTATCAACTGATCACAGTGAACACTGATCACAGTTTTGTGAACTCTGAAAATGAGTCCCAAGATACAGGTCAGTGATGTTTAACCTTATACGCTTTCTTTTAGATGCATTACTTACCAAAATAAGCACATTTGTGTTATCAGCATTTACAATACGTTTTTACCCATTGCAAAATAATCAAAACAATCTAAGGATTTTTTAAATGTCTTATTGAAAGGGTTATTTCGAACAATTCGAACAATATTTGCGAACCATCAAACATATCAAGAGAGGTCGCATCGAGTAAATTTGAAGCCAAAATATCAAGAAAATATATCAATACGCTAATGATGGAGCCTTTAAAATAGATGTAGAAAGGTCGATAAGGTGCTCATCGAAGTCACAGATGAGTCTTGAGTCTCTGAGTGTAGTAAGGGAAGGAGATGATTTTAACTCGATTTGGAGAAAGTTCCACAAACAACTGAATATATTGTGGACATGTTACTGATCTATCAAGCACGGGGCGGTCGAGTTAATAAATATAATTGTATCCATTTATCAACAGACTGGAGAGAGAAACAACAGACAATGGAAGAAAGTGTGCACAGTAGGAACCTAGACAAGAACCCACAAACCGAAGTTTTGGAGCAAACGGTGAAAAATATGGAGAAAGCATTGCAGACAATGAAGATGAAAATGCAGGAGAAGGAAGTGGAAAGTAAACAAGAAGTTGAAGCACTTCGTAATCAGCTGAATGATGCACGTGCATCTGGGAAAGGTACAACATGGGGCAAAACCCAGTCGACGTATTCGATGAGACGTGGTGATGGGTATTGGTAGGTTATGAAACGTGGATTCAGGAATTTTGCATTTGGGAAGATAAATATTAGGATATCGATCAGCGTGAAGTTCGAAAATATGACATGGAATGTTCGAATTTTTATTTGCTTACGGTATATAACCAATTAGTGACATTTTACATTTTACGATTATACGCAACCCCACATTTCTTATAATTATGCCTCTTATTTCTCGGAATTTCTTTAAATATTTTTCAAACAATAAGGGTTTATCATTCACATTGGTTATGCTAAGTGAGTTGTGATTCACGCACGTAAAGATCATAACAATTTTAAGTGCAATGTTTATAGTCTGTGTGCATTCAATACGAAATTAATCTGCTTATCGACATTTGGCTTTGTCCAAAACATTGCAATAGGCAGAAAAATTAATAAACTGTTTTATTTACGATGCCCAATTTCGTTTACCCTGACGGTCGTAATATACTACCCATCAAATGTTTAGACTCACTAGTGTAAATGTAGCCACTTACTTCAGTCAACTGTTCTAAACTAGATTTTGCAAAATATTCCATACTGTTTAAAGGTTACCGTACTGTTTACACATAAACTGATGTATTGTATAACAAATTCGTAGCGTTTAAAAGATTATTGTCAAGAGTTCAATAAATGATGAAACTCAGTGAAAATTGGCGAATTCTTACAAAACAATTTACACCAAAACGCCGCTGTTCACATGCATGATATTTGCACATGCTTTCCAGCAATTTGATGCATGATCCTCGTGAAATTCATCTACCTAAGGTTTGCAGTTGGTTCTCCCAAGTTAGTGGAGAAATTCATCTTTGATGTAACCATATATAACATATAGCGAGTGCTTTAAGTGAGTCTGAACCTTTGATGGGCAGTTTACTTTGTAAAAGTCCTTCCTTCCTCATTCAGCTTGCACCATCATATTTGGGTGTTATGTAGAACTCCGAGACAGCTTTTACACTCATATAAAATATGTCGTTAAATATGTCGAGTTTTGGCTCCATGCCTCGTTAATAAACATGTGCGTCGACTATAATAACTGTAATATACAGACCGAGACATTTGTCACTTTGAGGTAATGTACCACCATGTATAAAACGACATGGTATCTGTATTTGTTTTGTTTTATTTAAAAAGAAAGGTGGATAAAAGGGCTGTTCTCGAAACCTTTGCTCTGTCATCTGGAGCAAACGGAGCAATAAGGTGTCCGGATACCATTTGTAACGTTTGTCTTGTTCTTCTCCGGTATTACATATACGGCGGTATCACGTCTTGAATTAATAAGGACGAATACATGTTCAGGGTTTAGGGATTTACTGTCTGGGATGTAATTATCCCTCAGTGCATATGGTGGTAACGAAAACTCGTCTCAGGGACGCAGGTGCTCCACAGTGATCAATCCTATGATCCATAAGCAATAGCAATTCAATCAGTAGCCACGCCGTGGCAGGGTCAGGAGGCTGAAGACATGGAGAACCCCATGGTAACTTACAAAACTACTTTACCTGGAGAGTGCTTGGGCTATTTTGAAAGGCTGTTATTAGACTAAACTTAATTATCTACCTAGAATAAAATATGCAATATTTACATTTTGCTATATTTCCCCTTGTCAACAAAAGATATGAATAAAGAAAGGCTTAAAATGCTTCCTTGACGAACACCAGTATCAGAAGCAAAATTTAAACTATAATAAATTGTATTGTTATGCACAATAACATCATGGTAGATGACTATACTATTTCCGATTTTATTTATCTCAGTGAACAGAATTAAATGCGCTTGCATCATCTGCACATAACAATGCATATTGTTTGGCTTTCTTGTTAGATACATTTTATGTAATCTCATTGCAACACCAGCTGCGACAGCCTCATCACGCAGCTACAGCAATATTGATTCTATTCTGCTGTGCTTGTAATGTTACATTTCTGGTCGATGTTCATGCTGTTGAAAATTGAATTGTCTGGGCCGGATATTCCCACAATGTTATTTATTCTTAAACTATGTCAACTGTCTCATTAATAACAGGACTTATTACCCTCCCGTGGAAGATACTGCAGTGTAATATTTTTACAGTGGAAAGCTTAGAGTCATCACACTACGTAGGCAGTTTTTATTAATTTATTTTGGAGAGTAATAAACAGAAACTCGTGAAAGATTTAGCATCAAACTCGCTTTCGCTCGTTTGATACCAAATCATTAACTCGTTTAATAAAAATGGTATTACACGTAAGGTCGTTTAGTATCCTCTATAGGGGTCCTCCAATTACGCAGACAGCCAGTTCGCAGACACTTAAAAACAACAACATTTACGGTTCAGTGAACAGATTATCTACTACCTGTTACCTACACATTATTATGGACTAGTCCAAATAAAAACACAGGAACAAACTGAAGCTAAATTCTTTAAAGGCATTTAGAAGTTGGTGTAGTAATACAAGGCAAATCTTATGGATAACATAAATCAAGAAGTTGTTATCCATAAGATTTGTCTTGTATTAAATCTGAAGCTATATTATTTATTTTGAAAGATGGACGAAAACACAGTAATTTGAATTTTTATTGCTGCAATATAAAAACAGTTTTTCACAAACATTTCGGTTTAACCTTCTAGTCTAACGGGAGTCGGCATCATCATATTGAAAACATTAGCTTAGCTATTAGAAATTGCGACACTGATAAAAAAATAAAGACAAATGTGAACCTAAATATTATTCATAACGCATCATGTCAATGTGGCCATGGATGTGAGAATGTTTTTCATTACGTCCTTGAATGGCCATTGTATACTACTCAAAGACATAAACTGTTACAATCTTTGGAAAATATTGTGAAAATTAGAACACTGATTTGTATTAATCGTATCTTACATGGCAATGCAGGTGTCTCATTTCCTGCAAGTCAGAATGTTTTAAGATATGTACATATCTATATCTCTCCAACAAAACGTTTTCTCAGTAAACTTCTGTTGTACATATGCTATTATTGGAAGGTTTTTTTTCTATCAATAAACACAATCAAACCTCTCAGTGACAAACCTGTTTTTATATTCGATAGTAATTAATAGTAAAAACAATTTTGAGAAGAAAAATCATTTAAACACAACAAAGTTCTATTTACCCACAATCAAACTTCTCAGAAACGAACCTGTTTCAGGCTCACCCTGCTCTACTCACTAGACAGTGGACTGTTCCATTATACCTGTAGGTGGTACCCTAATTAACCTTCTAGTTCAGTGTCTGTCAATTGGGTGTCTGTCAAATGGGTGTCTGTCAAATGGGAGATAACCCCTCTATATACTTCATCCATAGCTACATAGAACGCTACGGTCATCCTTACACACAGTGAAACACCTTTGTGTCGAACTCACGGTTGTTACGAAATAAAAGTTTGGTCCGTGCATAAGTCATTATTTTGCATACAGTCGAGCATCGTTGTGTCGAACTCTGATAACTCGATATGTCCGGTTGTCTCGATATCCTGTCTTCACCTACCTTTCATGGGAAAGTATCCCTATGAACTGAGATTTGTTTCCACACGTTTACACTCGGTGCGGCATGAATCAAAGGGATGCGGTAGTGTAAACTAATTAGGGCTAATTGAGGTGAAGGTGTCACTTGTTTATTATTTAATTAAAATTAATTAAGAAGGAATTAATTAGGAAGTACTCACGAATAAACGCTTCTGATAACGGATTATAGTTTCGAATCAAAACATACCGAGAAGCGTTTTGTTTTCTTTCATAGTGATATTTGATGATATTTGTCGAACCTTGGTTAACTATTCAACATCTGCACAAGGGTGCTGGACTGTATCTTACCATTAGTACTAAGTAAACCCGTGAAGATCCGGTTTAGAATAATTATTGGTCTTCAGTAACCCATACTTGTCGTAAGAGGCCACTAACAGGATCGGGTGGTCAGACTCGATGACTTGGTTGACACATGCCATCGTATCTGCGTAGATCTATACTCATGCTGTTGATCAATGGATTGTCTGGTCCAGACTCGATTCTTTACAGACCTCCGCCATATAGTTTGGAGTGCAGCGTTAAACAACAATCAATCAATCTTTCAAGTAGTTAAAGAAAATAACCTGTATATCTTGCTAATTGAATTATGAATACGTTCATTAAAATGCACGAAACCAGCTGAATTATACATTACAATTTAATGCCTTTTCAACAGTAATACTCAAGGAGGATGAAAATAAACTTGGAACTGTCAGTATGTTTACTGACGTTTAAAGGATAACCGTTTATTAAATATGCATTGCATATGGGAAACATAGGCGACATATATAGGCGACAGGACAATGCGTGTGTGCTACAAATATTCTTTCAACAATCACAAACCTTACTTGAGGAGGATGAGGAGATCAATGAAAATAATCATATTTAATACAATATTTCAGTGTCATCCCGGACGCAGAACGTCAAGGATCCTTTACGAATTACAAAGTGGTGGCAAGCCTCGTCTCTCTTGAAGTGGTAGGTAAAGGGCGATACATTAGTGACACCCAAAGTTTCAGTTCTTCTTTAGAAGAGATACCAATTGCAGTTCCTTGCAGAATACAGAATGCATTCTTAAAAATTAATGATAATATGACTGTGAAATGTGACGTTCCTCCCAAACTTACCTCTCTTAACCTATTTCTAAGATCCTTTATGGTGTGTTTTGCCTTTTTTGTATGAACTTGCATCATTAAATGATCTTATAATTTCTCATTTTAAATGCTGTTTTATGGACCAACATCATCGTCATTGACGTGACTAACCATTTTTCTCCACGCTTTGTAAAATGGTTAATCCATATGAACAAGTTTTCGGTAAGTTATGTCAAACATCTTTTCAGGCCTCAGTTGTTAACCTCCTTAATATGTTTCAAAAGATCCAAAATACCGCCCGCATCATCAGCAAGAGTACTAAACGTTCCCATATTATACCCGTGTTGACACAAATGCATTGGCTACCGGTTAGGGCTAGAATGGACCCTCTGTCTGACATACAAGTGCCTCCATGGTTTGGCTCCCTCCTACTTGTCTGAGTTCCTACATCCGTATGTCCCCGCACGCAACTTGCGCTCAAACACACAAAATCTACTGGTCATCCCATCGAACTGAAATCCTTTGGACACTGATCGTTCCTTTACTCTGCAACTGTACTTTGGAACCCTCTCATTGTGCCATTAAAAGCTCTGATACAACTGACATTTTTAAGTCAAGACTTACAACCCACCTTTACTTAGCATATTACTTATAATTTCAACTATAAGTATACTCCCCATCAAAGGTTTAGACTCACTGGTGTAAATTTGGCCACTTACTTCAGTCAACTGTTCTGAACTAGATTTTGCAAAATAATCCATACAGTTTAATGGTACTGTTTATACATGAGCTGATGTATTGTATAACAAATTCATGACGTTGAAAAGTTTATTGTCATGTGTTCAATAAACGATCATCGATGAAACTCGGTGAGAAACTTTACACCAAAACGCAGCTGTTCACGTGCACGATATTTGCACATGCTTTTCAGCAATTTGATGCATGATCCTCGTGTAATTAATCTGCATAAGGTTTGGAGATGTTTCCCCCAAGTTAGTGGAGAAATTCATCTTCGTTGTAACCATATGTACATACATAACTTATAGTGATTGATTTAAGCGAGTCTAAACTTTTGATGGGTAGTATACTTCAGTGTAAATATTCCGTAGCGCTTTGAGCATGCATTAGGGTGTGGAATGGCCGCATTATAAATGTGCATTTATTATTTTTATATATTATATATTATCACAGCAAAAATAACTTGGTTTCCGGACCCCGGAAACCTAACGGAAACAAAATGGAAACTTACGTTTCAGCTAGGTTTCCGGAACGTTTCTCTACATTTCCTTCAAGTTTCCGGAAAACGGAAACTTACAAATTACCCAGAAACCGGCATGGCTCCAGTGCGTTTCCGTTACCCAGAAACCGGCATGGCTCCAGTGCGTTTCCGTTACCCAGAAACCGGCATGGCTCCAGTGCGTTTCCGCTACCCAGTTTCCAGTAAGGCTCCAGTGCGTTTCCGTTACCCAGTTTCCAGTAAGGCTCCAGTGCGTTTCCGTTACCCTTTTTCCTGTAGGGCTCCAGTGCGTTTCCGTTACCCAGATTCCTGTATGGTTCCAGTGCGTTTCCGTTACGCAGATTCCTATGAGGTTCCATTGGGTTTCCCTTATCCTCTACTTTCAGATGGTTTCATATACATTGTATTTACTTAGTTCAATTATGATTCCCTGTGAATTTCGTTTCTATTAATCACATTTACCATGTTCCATAAGTTTCAGTAAATCAGAATCTGTATGGCTCCATTTGGTTTCAATCATTAGTATTCAGGGATTACCATATGTCCATATCAAATTATGATTATTCAACTAAATTAACTGTAGTTGAAATGAGTGTATTATATATTTGAATGTATTAGGTCATATATTTTATTCATGATACATTGAAATATAAAATAAACTCATTTCAACTACAGTTACCTCAACACCACATGGACATAGAAATAAATAAATACAAAATCAGGCATGTCAGTCGATTTCTCTTTATTCATCATAAACATATCATATCTATGTTTCAATGTTACAATTAAACACTGACACAAAGCACACAGAGAGAGAGAGAGAGAGGGGGGGGGGTGTCAAAAGAGCCCGTCAAAAGATAGTCTTTATGTTTGTAGAGTTACTAACGTATACTGAAAAGGTTTAGTACCGTGACGTTGACATTTGTGATGTTTGTAAGGGATTTTCAGGTTGACCGCACTTGGAGAACAATGGACATAATCTGTGATGATAGGCATGCAGGTGACACTAAATTCCCAAGTTGAAAACAAAATAAATTGTACAACGAAGTGATATCCGTAGAAAATACCAGATGTTAGATAATATTTTACATATTCATGACATGGCAACAACAATAAAATCCATTAAAATGACATCTTGGCACAAATTATTTTAATCATCATAATGATAAAACAATTTCATAATACATGTACATAGTACACATCCAGTCTACACTGCAGTTTCATTAAGTATGAAACTGCTTCTGCGAAACGCAAGTACATTTATTCTTCCTGTTGACAAATCATCAGTGGTATTGTAAAATATATTTATCTTACATGTTGTATTTATTGTCACAGCGGATATTTATAAATTATACCTTTATATCATTGTTGACACGTTCGTGGTTACGTATGTCAGGATGTTTGGTGACTATATCATCTACAGTGGAGACAGCTGAGACTCTACAACATACCCAGGACATCCAAGATGTAGCATTTCTCTAAAGCGTACCATCCATACATACAGCCTCGTGAAGTCGGAATGAACTTTTACTTTACACATGTAACTGCTGTTTTGCCATAATAAAAGTGATGAATTTGAAAGTATGGCCAGCATATTATGTACCAAATTGATGAGTTGGTGCTTACTCATATCAATCAAAACAAGCTAAGTGAGTTCAATTTCATTGATTTTCATCATGTAAGTGAACAAGGGGTGAGTTCGTGTCACCTATTTCGCTAGGTATTTCAGAATGCGACCCCTTAAAATAACATGCACCGTTTCTAAAGAATTGTGACATTATGTAAAAATTTGTCAGGTGTATTATCTTTGGTGTCCAGTGAAACCCGGTCAGGTGACATGGAACAGTTTTTGGGGGCAGCTGCCGATGAATGGCATATCGTTCCATTATGTGGATACTGATGGATACTTTTCTCGAACAAGGTAATAGCCCATTCGTTTTGTTATAACGTTAGTTGGTTTTAAGTTTGATATCTGTATTTTGTTTTCATTTCTTGTAGCATTCAACAAAATTATTCCACAAACAACATTGTTCATGTGAGTTATAAGCCCCCACCTCTCCTCTTCTGACAATCCAGGGGCGTACCCAACAAGATCTCTTAGTTTTTTCAGGTTGTAAACTGATTCCCTTATATTTTAGGTACTCTATGACATATCTAGAAAGCCATTTAATAAATTTATGAGGTTCCAAAGTTCTTATAAATAGATAATGGATCAATAATGATAATGCTATAATTAAAAGGCAAAACGTTCATTAACTTAATTTTCTTTCAATCCCAACATTTTTCACCACTGGCAGATGACGTTAAACTTAAACATATTTTATATCTATAAGTCTACTGTGTAATTTGTTGAAGCCTGTATTATGTTCTTTATTGGATATTTACGAAACTATTGTCCTTTTTAGTACAGTTATGTGTTATGTGCATAACCACTCCCAGTTAGTTGTATTAGTATGTATCACTTTGAGAAAATCAAATGGAAAGCCAATGGGTAACTGAAACCTAATGGAGCCTTATCGGTTCCTCAGAAATTTAAAAGTTTAAGGCATCTGTGAGTGTACCTAACAAACCGTTAAGGAGACAAAATAGAATCTTAAGTTTCCGTAATATGGTTTAACTTTTCCTGAAATTATTCTTCTTTCATGTGACAGTATCTTTTATTTGAATTCTGGTGTACAAAAACACTGAGATCACTAAACTGAAACTTATATACATGGAATACATAGACAGTTTAGCGTAGGTTAATGTCGGTTATATGCTGTATATACTGGTATATATGGAGTAATTTCCTCTACGTTCGTTTCATTGACGTTCCCATCAATGATGGTTTCCAGCTGCTTTATGCAATGGAAACTACCAATGATACTTTACTTTAAATTTCCGTTTCTGGAAACTAACTTTGTTGGTTTCCGGTAGTTTCCAGTCGCTGAAACTAACCTTGGAAATTTAAATTTTAATGTGTGCATTATATATAAAAAAAAATTACCTGTCTGCGAAAGACAGTAAAATAACTAGTCTATCACAAATGTACACTAAAAACATATAACCATAAACACTTTAACAGTACAGTATAAAAATGGGCTATTGCTTTTCCTCCCTGCATGGGCCCAAGCTGGATACTGTATATAGAAATTATTTTACAAGTGTAACAGTAAATTAATATAGCCCCCAATGGAACAACCACAAAGCTAAGTTTGCCATTTCATCTAAGCTGAAACCAACAGACTTGTCAGTATCCGGGTACAGAAACCTAGCTGAAACCTACATTACCCAGTATCCAATAGGTTTCCGCAACAACGGAAACTAAGTCATTTTGTTATGAATCTTTCAGCGACCTGAAACTAAATGGAAACTCATAATGACAGTTTCAGTTGTAGAAATCAGACGGAAACCTAGATTTGTTAGTTTCAGTTTTGTAAACTACGCGGAAACTCACATTGTCTGTTTCCGGATGCTGAAACCTAGCGGAAACGTACATTACCCAGTATCCATTAGGTTTCCGCAAAAATGGAAACGAAGTTATTTTTGCTGTGTATTATAGACGAATGTCGATCATTATTTTTATCAGGGGCTCGGGTAGTATGAAAATAATTCTGTAGCATGGATGGTGAATAAGTAATTTGGACCACATGCAGGCTTATATGTTCATTGAAGTATATACATGTGATGGAAAGTTCATATACAAGCGGGAACTATGGGCTCACTCTCTCATTCATTCCAATGAGTTGTCTTTGAGCTGCATTGCAAAATCTGACAGTATAAAGGAAAAGTGTAATAACAATCAGTCATGATCAGTTAACACTGTTAGGGTAATACGTCCTGCCTACCGTATTATATGTAACAAATGTGTGTGGAGTTATTAATAGGCGTTGTTTCTGCTTCAAACAGGGACTGGGAGAAACCCCCGGAGTACACGTGTGGCAAGGTCGTGATGAAGGGCAACTGGCACATTTGTAATGACAGCAAATTTGAGGTCAAGCCACCGTGTCTAGTCTACTCCTTTGGGTCAGTACACACAAACAGACAGATATTAACACAGCTGTCTAACACTTAAACTAAAGTACATGCTAGACCTGCTAATCTAGACTTTCTTTATTCCGTGATACGTATGGCTTTGTTAACGCATGTCCATATTTACATATTGATTTAATATACTCAAAGACAAACGTTATTGTGACAGACAAATAAAAATAGAATCCCTGTTAAATTTTTACTACCGCGAATGAATTAATATTACATGGAAAGACAAGTGTTTCAAGGTATGGTAACGATCAATTATCGATAGGAACAACCCAAATTGGGAAGATCATTCATATCCGGGGAAAGATTTGGCGGGGATTTTGCAGCGTTGTCGGAGGATACGTCGCTGGTGTCATTCCAGAGGGTGGGGCGGTGGGGTAGCCTGGTGGTTAAGGCGTTCGCACGTCATACTGAAGACCCGGGTTCGATTCCCCATATGTGTACAATGTGTGAAGCCCATTTCTGGTGTCCCCCGCCGTGATATTTCTGTAATATTGCCAGGAGTGGCGTAAAACCCAACTCATTCACTCACTCATCCCAGGCGTGTTCATTGGGTGACAAATCTGTCGATCTTTCAGTCAGTGAAAAACCTTGATATTAATCTGATTAAGATACCACTGTTCAACTCATGCAACTCCAAGGCCATTCGTAAACTATCTTTTTGGTTTACGTTCCCCTTTAAATCATTGGCGTCCTGGCTGCAGCTGTTAATCCATCCCATCCCATCCCATGTCGACCCAATCCAACCCATCATAACGCCCCTACCTCCAAAACGATCCCCTTGCAGAACACAATAGCCCGCCGAAACGTTCACCTGTGCGTCTGTAGACACGTTCTACCGTCAGCCCGTTAGAGTGAGAAACGTATTCCTCGGTTAAGAGAAAACATCCTCATTCACTTTTCAAGTCGTGTCTGCTCTGCTTGAGTCATCGTCGACGATGTTCTGGCTTTCGGGTTTTGCTTCTTGCACGGATGCCCTTGACTCGTAGATGTCATCGAACTGCTGCACCTCCGTTGCCAAGTATTGTACGAGTTGTTAAGGTTGCTGGTTGGTGCCTGTGTCACAGGTGCGTGGTTCGAATCCACCATTGTCTACGTGTAATCATGGTGGACGGGCACAACTGGGACGGTCTATATCTTGATTATTTATTGATAAATTTCTACTGGCCAAATGATGCACTTCGAGACGTTGAACGGAATCGAAGGGCAACGTGACGATTCGAGGTACCAGACTAAAGCATACCTCGAGGGCCCCATTCCCCAAAGAGACCGTAGCACTACGACAGTCGTAAGTCTATGTTAAAGTATGGGAGGTACGATCATCGTAGCACTACGACAGTCGTAAGTCTATGTAAAAGTATGGGAGTTACGATCATCTTAGCGCTACGACAGTCGTAAGTCTATGTTAAAGTATGGGAGTTACGATCATCGTAGCACTACGACAGTCGTAAGTCTATGTTAAAGTATGGGAGTTACGATCATCTTAGCGCTACGACTGTCGTTAGTCTATGTTAAAGTATGGGAGTTACGATCATCTTAACGCTACGACTGTCGTAAGTCTATGTTAAAGTATGGAAGTTACGATCATCTTAGCGCTAGGACTGTCGTAAGTGTATGTTAAAGTATGGGAGTTACGATCATCTTAGCGCTACGACTGTCGTAAGTCTATGTTAAAGTATGGAAGTTACGATCATCTTAGCGCTACGACAGTCGTAAGTCTTTGTTAAAGTATGGGAGTTACGATCATCTTAGCGCTACGACAGTCGTAAGTCTATGTTAAAGTATGGGAGTTACGATCATCGTAGCGCTACGACAGTCGTAAGTCTATGTTAAAGTATGGGAGTTACGATCATCTTAGCGCTACGACTGTCGTAAGTCTATGCTAAAGTATGGGAGTTACGATCATCTTAGCGCTACGACTGTCGTAAGTCTATGTTAAAGTATGGGAGTTACGATCATCTTAGCGCTACGACAGTCGTAGCACTACGACAGTCGTAAGTCTATGTTAAAGTATGGGAGTTACGATCATCTTAGCGCTACGACAGTCAAAAGTCTATGTTAAAGTATGGAAGTTACGATCGTCTTAGCGCTACGACTGTCGTTAGTCTATGTTAAAGTATGGGAGTTACGATCATCTTAGCGCTACGACAGTCTTAAGTCTATGTTAAAGTATGGAAGTTACGATCATCTTAGCGCTACGACTGTCGTTAGTCTATGTTAAAGTATGGGAGTTACGATCATCTTAGCGCTACGACAGTCGTAAGTCTATGTTAAAGTATGGAAGTTACGATCATCTTAGCGCTACGACTGTCGTAAGTCTATTTTAAAGTATGGGAGTTACGATCATCTTAGCGCTACGACAGTCGTAAGTCTATGTTAAAGTATGGGAGTTACGATCATCTTAGCGCTACGACTGTCGTAAGTCTATGTTAAAGTATGGGAGTTACGATCATCGTAGCACTACGACAGTCGTAAGTCTATGTTAAAGTATGGGAGTTACGATCATCTTAGCGCTACGACTGTCGTAAGTCTATGCTAAAGTATGGGAGTTACGATCATCTTAGCGCTACGACTGTCGTAAGTCTATGTTAAAGTATGGGAGTTACGATCATCTTAGCGCTACGACAGTCGTAGCACTACGACAGTCGTAAGTCTATGTTAAAGTATGGGAGTTACGATCATCTTAGCGCTACGACAGTCAAAAGTCTATGTTAAAGTATGGAAGTTACGATCGTCTTAGCGCTACGACTGTCGTAAGTCTATGTTAAAGTATGGGAGTTACGATCATCTTAGCGCTACGACAGTCGTAAGTCTATGTTAAAGTATGGGAGTTACGATCATCTTAGCGCTACGACTGTCGTAAGTCTATGTTAAAGTATGGGAGTTACGATCATCTTAGCGCTACGACAGTCGTAAGTCTATGTTAAAGTATGGAAGTTACGATCATCTTAGCGCTACGACTGTCGTAAGTCTATTTTAAAGTATGGGAGTTACGATCATCTTAGCGCTACGACAGTCGTAAGTCTATGTTAAAGTATGGGAGTTACGATCATCTTAGCGCTACGACAGTCGTAAGTCTTTGTTAAAGTATGGGAGTTACGATCATCTTTGCGCTACGACTGTCGTAAGTCTATGTTAAAGTATGGGAGTTACGATCATCTTAGCGCTACGACTGTCGTAAGTCTATGTTAAAGTATGGGAGTTACGATCATCTTAGCGCTACGACTGTCGTTAGTCTATGATAAAGTTTGGGAGTTACGATCATCTTAGCGCTACGACAGTCGTAAATCTATGTTAAAGTATGGGAGTTACGATCATCTTAGCGCTACGACTGTCGTAAATCTATGTTAAAGTATGGGAGTTACGATCATCTTAGCGCTACGACTGTCGTAAGTCTATGTTAAAGTATGGGAGTTACGATCATCTTAGCGCTACGATCGCTTTGTGGAACAGGGCCCTGCTCTCCATCTGTCATTGTTCCCCGAGGCGATGATCCAGAACGATGACTACAGTTTGTTCCGGCCTTCTGCACACCTGAAGCAACATTTGTTGCAAATAATAAGCATCTGATTCTCTGGCCCTTTAAAGTGAATATTGCAGACTATATTTCCCGAATATGTCATACATCTTGCAAATGTCGTGCATTTCAAACAGCAACGTTTCATCGACCATTAAAGCGCACTCTGTCACTGGTTCAAATCCGAAAAGTCATCACAAGACTATCACCACGCTTTCAATGAAAAATTACCTTGTTACCATAACTTTCGCCTCTGAGTTAAGGATTATTTAGTGATCGACCAGACTGCCTCGCCAGAAAAGATAAGTTAATAGCTGTTGTTCATAATAATGATTTAAAATGTTTCATTAAAACAAGCTCAACACACAAATTTAAATTTGTTGTATTTATTGTAATTAGTAAGTATTGTAAATCTTTGTAGGATATGGAATGACTGGTCGTTTGATGACGCAATGGGAGCTTTTGGTTGTGAAGTTCATTCTTTTGACCCAAGGTAAGAATGATAGATACCTTGTCCATCCACCCAGTTAGTGCTAATTATACCCCCCTGGCTTCTATTTGTTTTTCTTATCAATCATGCCTGGATTAACAATCCCTGGCTTCCACTTGTCCATCCACCAATTAACTACTGGTTTCCTTTGTTATACTGTTGTTGTTTCAACATGTACATATATAGCTGTTTGTTCCTAATTGTTTCATTCACATGATGAAGGAGTAAGAACATACTTCGAAACGCCGTGACCCTTCACAATAAAGAAGTTGTCATCCATAAACAAACTCTTGTCTCTTTGTGACACCTGGCTACATCCATGCCGTGGTGGCTGTATAATACTCTAGTTCCACAACGATATAATCAAAATGATTAATAAGGCGTGACAGTCTTGTCTTTAGAAACTAGAGTCAATCCAATCCTAATTGTTTTTGTGAGCGTGGAAAGGAAAGAGAAGTAAACGTAACACAACTCCTTTCTCCCAGGTGACCATACCCGTGAAGATCCGGGTTAGAATTGGTCTTCAGTAACCCATGCTTGTCGTAAGAGGTGACTAACGGGATCGGGTGGTCAGGCTCGCCGACTTGGTTGACACATGTCATCGTATCCCAATGGCGTAGATCGATGCTCATGCTGTTAATCACTGGATAGTCTGGTCAAGACACGATTATTTACAGACCGCCGCCATATAACTGGTATATTGCTGAGTGCGGCGTTAAACAACAAATTAACCAATTCTAGATGACGATGTTGTGAAGGGTTAATTTCTTTTGACAAGTGGGGTGTGCTGTGTGGTATTACAATTCACGGACCCTTCAGTAACCCATGCTTGTCGTAAGAGACGACTGATGGGATCAGGTGGTCAGGCTCGCCGACTTGGTTGACACATGCCATCATATCCCAGTTGCGTAGATCGATGCTCATGCTGTTGATCACGGGATTGTCTGGTCCAGACTCGATTATTTACAGAATGCCGCCACATTGCTGGAATATTGCAGTGTTAAGACAAAATAACTGTCAAACCGAACTTACTCTCTTGCAATCGATATGTTTTAGGTCTAAGGTATTGTAATTATTTTAAAACTATATGCCACATCTTCAGTAAGGTGGTTTATTTGGGTATTTTTGTTTAGTATCGGACTAAAGCCCTTCGACAGAAGCAAGAATGTCCACTTCCATGACCTTGGCCTCTCTGGGAATGACAGCGACATGTATGTTCCTACTAAGGACATATACGTTAAAAAGACAACAACATGGAAGATCAGACGCCTCAAGACCATCATGGAGATGCTTGGACATACAAATGTACGTACATGTAAATTCCAAGTTTGACAGAATCAATATTGATCTCGGGAACGATCTGGGTGGATAATGTGATGACGGACAGAGCTACAACAAGTAAATGGAACGGAATATGTCAATATGTAGATTTACACATGTAGATAATTTAATGTGTTTGTGTATAAACACTTCGCAAAAATAGAGGGATGTTTACTTTGAAGTCTACCAAGGAGCAATGAAAGTTCAGTTAAACACTGTTTGCCTCGAAGTAAAGATCGCTCCGTGCAAATTGCCTCATTAATCAGGATGTAGTCAGGTCGAACCTCGAATAACTGGGCAAAATGACTGTAAGTGAGGAGGTTTAACTGGATATTCGCTGCGTTTGCATTTGACCCCCGAACTCTTTAGCGACCTAGAGCACCACCATCTCATCAAACCATTAGAAGCCACTAGATCTGACTGGCTTCTTCCAGCAGATGTGACGATATAGATTTCATTTCCAATACCAAAAGGCTCAGAAAGATATTGTCTTCATGGTGCACACTATTCCCCTACATATCCGTCATAGTGTATAGCATACATGAAGAATTCAAACATTCTTATGGATAGAATGACACATACAATATATTATTCCTAAAACATGTATGTTTACGATGGACATACTCTTAAGATATATCAATGCTTAACCCCCTGAATACCAAGTTCAGACACTCGAGTCGTGATTTTATACACACAATTCAATCTGAATACAGTCAACGGTGGTATATGTCTCATAAATGCCAAATGATCTGCAGCCAAATCACCATTTTAACGAATCCCCTACAATCAGTCTTCATCATTTACTGAACAAGAATACATCAATTTCATCGATGATTGAGGCGAAAACATTGTTTCATAAGGGTGACGTATTTGCGTACTTATCGATCCGTAATACTAGGTTGATCAGATTGTTTTTTGGGTCGATAATACAATCGATTTTCTGCTAAAAGTAGTAAAAATACGTTCTATTTTCTTCATATTAGTGTTTTCATTCCCAGGCGGATCGTTAGGAAGTTGGAGAAAGGAAATAATACCATTTTTATCTGAATATCCTTATATTTTCCAGAGACACCTGGATGTTCTAAAGATTGACATAGAAACAAGCGAGTGGCCGGCGGTGAAGGACATTGTGGAATCTGGCCTGTTCTCCAATGTCAGACAGTTTTCTGTAGAGTGGCACCTGTTTCCAGAATATCCAAGTAGACCGGAATTCATAGGTTTTTATGCAAACGTCATGGCCATGAAGGAGCAAGGATTACGAACATTTAGATCCAGTTTCCATACAAAAGACTACAGCGACAAGAACTTCCGCGTCCAGGCAGATGTTAACTACGTTAATACATTGTATAAAGGCATTTAACACAGCAATACGATTAACCGTCTAAACCAGCTGTCCAGACGAATGTTCTTGCTCACTTCCGGAAGTGAGCTGAATATGACATATTTGCAGCCACATGAGCTACAGGTGTCATGTAATCATATATTGAAGTCTGGCGGATATGGAGTTAGCCGGAGGTGTTGCAACTTCAATAGTAGGGCCGCTGAATCTACACAGGTTCTTCATTTCAGATTGCTTTGTACATGCCTTACTAAATGTAAATGCAAAACTTGCGCTTTCCTTTCTTTTGTGAAATATGTACATTTGAAAACATAATGGAATTCATCCCTATTATCATCAGTACAACAAATTCCATCACATATTGGTTACTCTCTACCATCTTCTCTTTACAATAGGCAAATTGTGACATGATGTGCGGGAAAATAGTTGTTGAAATGCTGTAATATGTAATGGTAGAATGGTTGTAGGATCGCCAAGGAAATATCATTCTGCAATTATATCATTCTGGATATCTACAAATGATGAAATATTTATATCTTGCTACCAAAATGACATCTCAATGAAGAGTGTGAGTAAGATTACTTTTATGCCGCATTTCGCAATATTCCAACAGTATCACAGTGGGGGGACACCTTAAATAGACTTCCCACATTGTACGCGTGCGCAGAATCGAACTCGGATCTTCAGCGTAACACCATTTACTCAATTGCCAATGGTCTTTAACATTGCAGCACCAGCTTTCTTCTCTGGTCTGTTCTGGGTAGGAGTAAGTGATATATGGGGAGGACACTCCCTGCTGGTCTCTCTCTCTCAGCTGTCAAGTTTTGTTGTTTTCTTTCCATCGAAGTAAAGCCTGTCCCTTATTTGAATTCTCATGTCCTTTGCTTTAAGCGTGCTTAATGTAATTTCAATGGTAAAAAAGATGAAAATTCACACGTTCGCCAACACAACAGCTTTTATTGTTGTTTATCTGTTACTTGAGGCCACAAGATGTCGTGAAGGTCAGCACTTTGTATGGACACCATTGCCAGCAAGTACTGCTCGGCACCGTTTCGTCACACACTGGATAAGTCGACAAAGTCGCTCATTCGCAATTCTTCTCCACTCAGCTTGCAATGCAATGGCCAGTTGTGGAAGTGTTCTAGGCGTGTTTCATCCCATAGGTGTTCTATCGGGTTTAGATTTGGTGGTCGGAAAGGCCATGGCAAGACATTGACGGTAGAATTGGCAAGGCAGTGAAGCGTGCTGAATGTGAAGTAGCGTTGTCATGCAGGAACAACTCTCTCTGTCGGAAGCATGTCACGTGCAAGGACTTCGTTAATGTACCGATTTTTCTGTCAAATTCCCCTGACCCACCACTAAATCAGATCTTTGTGTGCTGGATATCGCACCCCACACCATGACACTATTTCCACCGAATTCGTCGACCTGTTGAATTCAATTAGGGGCGAAACGTTCATTTCTCCAACGGTAAACACGCTGTTTTCCATCTCGCCGGTGAAGAAGAAATCGTGATTCATCACTCCAGTTTCTAAGGTTCTCTCAAAACATTGGCGACAACTGGCCTTCTTGGTCGAATCCCCAATTTTCCCCAACGTCACGCAATCGATTCCCGACAGTTTGGTCGGAAATTCTTCTCAAACGAGGGATGCATTGTGCAATCTCCACGGCTGTGGCATAACGATGACGCAGGTGAAAAATCCGGATGTAGCGGTCCTGGGCTTGGATGGTAACGCTTGGACGGACGCTTCTCGGGCGAAATTGGTCTGTAGGAAACGATCCCAATGTAAGCGCGATATGGTGCTCTGATAAACGTTGACATGTCGGGCAACTGCAGACTGCAACTCCCCAGCTTCAAGACGGCCTATGGCGATGTTTCGATTGGCGGCATTCAGTTGTGGCATGATGATTTCCTCTTTTCCAGGTAAAAAACGAATGACAAAATTTAACACAACGTTTGCGTTTTTATAATGATCAATACCGCATGCTTTTCCACTTACTGCATTCTGCTTTGCATGCTTTTTTGGTGACGTTTTGGCGAATATATCTTCGAACGCTTTTAAAACAAGGGAAAAGTTAAAATAGCTGTTTACAATCACACAAAGATGACTGTTTGGAAAGAGTAGTATAGTATATTTGTTCTTGCCGCAGCTACATGAGTCCAATATTCTCAATATCACCTGCGCGTAACCTTTTTGTTTTTGAAGAGTATATAAGGCCCGTATGTTAACCAAGGCACACACCTTTGGGTAGACGTAGCAGCCTGCCCATTCCTACGCACTTCAGCGTCTATCAAAGGTACGACAAAGACTGATCATGATCCTTGATAAAATCAAGGAAGGATATACTTTGTGTATTTAAAAAAAGAAACTGCTTGGAGAGAGTTGTTTTGCAGACTTAAAATGTCTTCAATTCCGTCAAAACGCTTTCGTTTTCGTTTTTAATCAATATCCCACACGCCAAACTTCAAGTAACTCCTTCTTTACTCCATTGGCCATGTTATCCTAAATGTGGTGAGCAAAGACATAGCTACGTTCATTAAATGAGAAATATGGGTTTACGACATTCCAGCAAGTAGGCATCCTTATGAAGACCAATTGGCCTCCTTGCTTACACGTTCCTTTTATACTATGATCTGGCAGTGAAAGCAAACCATTGGAATACGTATAATTTCAGTTTCAGACAGTGCCACTGATTTACATACCTGAACTAGCAATAAAAGTGAACAGTGTTTCCGTCTCATATGTTTCATATTTCACTACAAAGATCGCCGTGCGACTATTGATGCAAATTATGCAATCAGTTTTACTACCATTTATGCCATTATTAAAACTTTCAAAGAACGATGCCATAGCCTTGTGGTTAAAGCGTTCGCTTGTCACGCTGAAGATTCAAGTTCGATTCCCCTCATGGGCACAGTCCTCATGTGCGGGTCTCAAAACATTCGAGGAAAATTAAGCTTTTAAGCTTTCCAAATATTTTAAAACGTAGTATTTTTGTGATTTTAAATTAGTTAACTTTAACTATAATCACCGACGGCTGACGGGATGAAGCAAATCCGGCTAGGGCACATGCAGGTTGCAAAAGTACCATAAGTTCCCATGGCCCTCAGTTGTTGGTGATACTCAGCCTGTTTATATATTGTGTTGTCCTCATTTGAAATTTTACTTTAAAGATAGATGCTAGTTTCAATTCTTGATACTGTGATATACTAGTTGGTTTTTACCGTCCTTCGTCGACAGCTTTTGATAATTTAATTGCGTTTATTGTGAATTTGCAAGTCACGATATGGCTGAAATATTGCCGATGTGACTGTAAATCCTCACTCACTCACTCACTCACATGGGTACACCTGTGAAGGTCCGGGTTAGAATATTGATCTTCAGTAACCCAAGCTTGTCGTTAGGCGACTAACGAGATCGGGTGGTAAGGCTCGCTGATTTGGTTGATACATGTCATCGGTTCCCAATTGCTCAAATCGATGCTCATGCTGTTGATCACTGGATTGTCTGGTACAGACTCGATTATTTACAGACTGCCGCCACATAGCTGGAATATTGCTGAGTGCGGCGTAAAACTAAACTCACTCATTCGCATGGGTACAGTCTGTGAAGCCCATTTCTGGAGTCCCCCGCCGTGATATTGCTTGACTATTGCTAAAAGAAGCGTAAAACTAAACTTACTCATTCACTCACTATAACCTCCAAACAAAATTTTAAGGAAATCATGTGGAGGATATTTCCTAATTTGAGGAAAGACATGTCCAATGTGATTCTCATTGTTTCACATCTTATTACAGGGGTATTCAAATAAGCACCTGCAGCTGGTTTGCTTTTTAGGGTACTTTTTGCGCACCTCTTGGGCGGGATAAACTTAAATGTATCTGTTCTCGCAAACCAGATTTCCATTAATTTTGTGTACACAAATAGATTTAAGTCATAAACACACCCTTATGCATATATATAGTTCGAATGGTCCGATGGTTACTGCTGTTTGCGGAAATGTCTTCTGATTTTGAAAAGAGTTTGTAGGTGCTATTCTCTTGGCGATATTATTTAATAAATTCTGCAGAAAGTTCATTGTTGCACGTGCAGTATGAGGCCGGGCGTTGTCCCGTTGAAAAATCTGTGTCTGTTGGTCAATAATCGGGAGAAGGTGAAGCTCTAACACGTGGTTGATGTAACGTTGGGCTGTCAGGTTCCCTGGAACGATCACCAAGTCTGATTTCTGGTTGTATGAGATGGTTCCCCAAACCATGACGCTTTCTCCGCCAAATCTGTCCACCTGTCGGACGCAGATGGGCGCAAAACGTTTATGACGTCTCCTATACAGACGCTGTCTTCCGTCGTGACGTTGCAAAAGAAAACGTGAGTCATCAGAAAACCAGATTCGCCTCCAGTTTTGTAAAGTCCGTATCCTTACGTTGTTGCACCACCTGAGTCGTCGGCGTCGATGTAGGGGGCGTAGTACAGGTCCAACAACTGGTCTACAGGCACGTAAACCCGCTTCTTTCAGACGGTTCCTAATCGTTTGAGCTGACACTCTCCTCAAACCTGGTATTTGTGTGGCAGTCACGGTTGGTAGGGCATGCCGATTACGCAGGGGATGGACTCGGATGTACCGATCTTGAAGGGGGGTCGTGATTCTTGGCCTTCCACTTCTCGGGCGATCGTTGGTCAAATTGAAGTTGTTGTAGCGGCTCCAAAGTCGGGATATCGTTGTTTTGTGAACATTTAGGTGCCGTGCAACAGTTCCAAAACTTTCTCCGGCTTGAACGACCAATGGCGATATTTCGGTCGGCAGCACTCAATCGTGGCATTTTAACACAGCTTTTCGGCGACAAATGAATGAATATAATACGGAAGCACATGGGCTTTATACACCCCTACATTAACTGCCATTTTTCATGATTTGCATGTGTTTTTTTGTGCGAAGTCACCATGAGGGTCATTTCATGCGTTGTGACGGAATAAGCAATAAAATACACTTATGCGTACAAATGCAGTTGTTTGGATGGTAATCTTCATTAATTACGTGTATCATTTCAATACATTCGAATAATTTCTTTTTGACAGAGTTATTATTTGGCAAACACAAATCTTCTTTCCACTTTCCACTTTCTTACATTAGCCCCAGTCACAGGCGTTACCAAGATGAAGTTAGAAACAAAATACATGCACATGTAAGATAGATGATGGTATATGCCTTTATTGGGCTGTCGATGTCTCTGCATAAAAATCATGGATTATGCATATGGAAGTACATAAATTGTTGCTTTCTCATAAATTGTATCATAAATTGTAAGTTACTTCTGAGCATGTATTATACCTATTATTTTGTTTTTTTCACATCTAACACTTGTTCATATCCTTTGAATAAAATAGACATAATGTTACTTAATTGAATTGTCCATCTTTGTCAATATTTAGTTCCAGGAGATACTGTTTGTCAGTGCACCTACTCTGCCAGCGTCTTGCCTATATGTAGTTAGTGTCTCGCCATGTGAACAGTTTAGGCCCCTTTGGTAACTAATGTCCCAAGTGCTCAGATGCCCTTGTATCAGATTGACGTCTTTCCTGCGTAGGGATCTTACACACTGAAGTGACCTATCTATATCACATTTATACATAAAGATATGCATTTCTGTTTGTCGTTATCATTTCAAGAAAAATAATAACTGCATTACATCATCGTAACCTCAAATTGTGCAGAATTCCTGTTCTCTCGCGTCAAACGTTGAAGAGTGTTCATGTATGATGATCCTTGGAAGAAGAGCTTTTGAAAAGTAAGCATCTGGATATATATGGGGATATTATCGTTGTTCGGAGATGTACCCTGTCGTCCAGGTAGTGATGATCAAGTATTAACCTCTTGCAGGAGTTTTATCCCATGCCTTGACGTCTTCTATTGTCTGGGGAAGTTCTCGTCCCTCTGGTTCAGGGAGAAAATAATTGAGCCCAGCTGTTATCAAACAGGCTATCCCGAAAATAGTCCCAGGAGCCCAGGGTGCAATGGCTGCCTGCAATAAATCAGCAGCGGGTTTTATCACGTGTTTTCAGGTTTAAAACGACCATATAACACAGTTCTGTGACCACGATAATTTTTGCTGCTGATCCGGGAAGGGCAGTTACATTCATGAATTTCTATATATACAGATGTGTACTCTGTACGAAACAAAATCGAGGTTACATCGTGAATGTAATTTTAACGAAACTCACAAGAATGGATATGAAAGGTGCTATCATCCCTCCGACCCTAGCAGCTGTGGAACCAGATCCCATACCGGCTGACCTGCAAGCGGAATTCGTAGCATATGTTGATATGATGGAGGACATCTTTCTAAGTTGAGTTGCAACGTTTGTCATTTCACGGTATGTCTGTCAGCGTGAATCATGACGCCAAAGAAATATAGCTATATGTCGTAAAACGAACGGTAAAAGCTATGCAGGAAGTTGTAATGAATAGGTTTCATTATGTTTATCATACTTCACAAATTAACTTTGACAAGTACATGTACGACGGAAATGTCTATATACATACACGAAAGTGATTATACATCACTAGTAAAAACTAGTTTTAAAAAAATACAGTGAACATAAAGAAAGGAATGCGTAACGTACCAGTGAGAAGCAAGCATTTAGCGACAAGGCACCAATACTTCAAGTAAGATCATCGTAAAAACCATTACATTACGATCAAATGACGACGTAGATTATAAGGGAGTTGTCTAATTTAATCTATCTTGGTGAGGATGAGGAGCGAACAAACTCATAAGGCTGGAGAAATATAGCTGGATAATTCATAGCCTTGTGTTTTATGTAACACAATGCATCGGGATAGCTTTTTTAACACTGCCAAAAATGTTCTAATAAATGTAGCTTGGATAGTCAAAAAGAGAACGAATAAGAATAGGTTTCAAAGTTTCAAAGAATATACCATAGAGGATCAGGGTACTATTAGAAATTTGGTTCTTTGTTCAGAATGATAATAAGAAAAATGTTAAAGGAAGAAAAACAAAATTAAACCAGCAGTAGGTATAATTACCAAATTTCACTTGCCGAATGATCCTGAATGTATAGTAGTCCTTGGAATCACAACACACGACAATATCCAGGCACTACACATGTAAGCTGTACGGATGCCATCTTAATAAGTATCATTAATCATATCGTTTCCTGGTGTGTATATTACCTGAGATTTGTCGGATAGATCTCGGGTGCATACACAAACATGGCATTGAAGCAGGCACTGTTACCAATTTTCCCAATGAAGGCGAGGGCTGTTGCTGTTATGGCTGCTGCTTGGCCCACTGAAGGCCATAAACATACATTTGCGTTACTGAACGTTATTTTATTAAATGGACCTATGCTACTTGCTACTATGCTACCTACTGAAATAAAAGTGACGAAACCCTTACAGTTTCCATGACCATACAATTCCGGTCATATGAAAATATGATTTTTCAAATGAGATCATACACACCAACTTACAAGTAAATACGTAATGTAATTTATTTTTCTATCTTCACTCTGATAATCAGTAGTTACTGTGAGTAGAATTATTGGCGGTTTGGGGCTATTCTGTGGCCACATTTCCAGTGAGAAGATATGCACCTCATGTACATTTGTTCATCAACAGACTCACCTATTAATGCCCGCACGATTGTCGCCAAAAGAAGACATGTCCCGGCAAGAACATGGAAAAACATAAAGAAACGTCTCCTTCCGTACCTGCAAAATGTTTTCAATTTGTTTAAAGCTTGAAATGCAGAAACGTGTTACGTAAACTACTATTAAGCCTTAATGTGCGCTGGAACAATATTAAGGAGTGAGTGAGTTTAGTTTTACGTCGCACTCAGCGATATTCCAGCTATATGGCGGCGGTCTGTAAATAATCAGACCTGGGCCAGACAATCCAGTGATCATCGATCTACGCAATTGTGGTACGATAACATGTGTCAACCAACTCAGCGAGCCTGAGCACCCGATCCCGTTAGTCGCCTCTTACAACAAGCATGAGTTACTGAAGATCAATTCTAACCCGGATGTTCACGGGTCTATCAATGTTAAAAGTATTATGAATCAAAGACATAGGAGGGTCGATGGAAATGTACTCGACCTCACATGGAAAATGATACAAATGCGGCTGTTTTTGTGTTTTATTTTTCTTCATATTATCTTTCAACCTCAAGCAAATTGGTTTTGCTATATTCCAGTCTCACGATCCCCATTTTGTTTGAGCTGGAGTCCTTAAAAACAGCCCCGGACTAAATATTAATCAAGCAATCCAAATCTAGTATATAGTCATCCAATACTATACTGTACATATTTTATGTGTGATTACACAATGCCATTTAGAAAGTGGGCCAATCCAAAGTCAGCTGCTCAGCCAGTATTCTAGTACTTTTGTACAGAATCTGTACTTTACTATAGAAAATGTAATCCCAAATATAACATATGTTGCATTTGACCACTTTATAAATGGCATTGTGTAATCATAGCTTTCGGCCGTGGGAGCCGTGCCAATTTACACCTGTCAGAGGGCTACACAAAGTCCGCAATCTAGACTTCCAGTTTTCCGACTTCCATTTTTGTGGAAGTCACGGTGGCTAAGAGGGATAGGCGGCTGAATTTGTGTGCTGGTGATTAGGTGCCTAACTCTGAAGGTATGGGTTCGAATCCCGGATGGGAATCAACCCAACAAAAGTGCTAGAATCTGTTCTTTACTAAAGAAAATGTAATCCCAAATATAACATAGGTTGCATATTTTATATGATATGATCTGAGGACATGCCATTATCCAAGAGGTACCAAATTACAGAAAATATTATGTTAGAAATATTATACCCCAGTGTGTTCTGATAACTATTATCTCGTTAACCACATTGCCCACATATGTGAATTTTTTTATATGCCTTTGCTGATGATTCCTTCAAAATAAAATGGAAGCTTTTCAAACATTGGACATCGAGAATATAGTTAGGCCGAGTACCTTTTGATCGACCCTCGTAACTGTTTAGTTTGCTTTACGTCCGTCCTCAATTATCTTACATACCTTACATACCTTACATCTCACATATATTATCAACATATTATGTTATGTGCCGATCTGAAACCTTAGTTTCCTTTCGTAAACTAATTCACAATTTCCATGTTTCAGAAGGTTTGGGTGTAGCTTGTGCATCGTTGTACTGATTGATGTCACACATTTGATGAGTGAGTGACGTTTGTTTTACGCCCCTTGGAGCAATATTCCAGTTATACCACGGCGGGTGACACCAGAAATAGGCTTGACACATTGTACCTGCGTGGAGCATCGAACACAGGTCTTCGGCGTGATGAGCGAACGTTGTAACCACTAGGCTACCCTACCCCAACGCCCCGTCCTTACTTTGCTTATAATTGTTGTCGAGAGTCTTGTGGTGATGCTTAAATATGCAGGAGTGAGGTTATTATATTTATGTCATATTTACATTACATTACATGTATAAGAACTGACTCCAGTACATCGTTGCATTTATTACACTAATGTGTCCGTATGTTTATAAATTAATGAACGAAAATAGAGGAATACCAGCGAAGGTGCAGATTTTGTTAACCAAGACAACAAGCACAGTGATCTTTAGAGGACGATCATTTTAATATGTTATTCCAGCGTGACTCAAAATACTCCTATGGCGGCGAATTGGTGTTTGGTATTTATCATACATATACTGTTATAGAGGTATGCACTAAATCATCGAAGGTGATGCAAAATCAACATACTAAATTCAACATATTTTGTTAACTCTACCATCATGTTGCATGTATATCAACGATAACCATTGTGGCGTCAAGGTTTACTCAGTTATTATGTATTATGATAAATAAAACAGTTAGTAATTCTAGACCAGGAACAATTGTATTTAAAAATGAAAGAATGTAGTGAGTGAGTGAGTGAGTTTGGTTTTACGCCGCTTTTAGCAATATTCAAGCAATATCACGGCGGGCGACACCAGAAATGGGCTTCACACATTGTACCCATGTGGGGAATCGAACCCGGGTCTTCGGCGTAACGAGCGAACGCCTTAACCACTAGGCTACCCCACCGCCCCGAAAGAATGTAAATTCATGTTCCGTTTACAAACATTCGTTATCACTCACTCCACCATTCCACTGGCACTGCAGTACATGTTTAGATAAATATTCTTTCTTTCTTTTTTTGTGCTGGGGTAGCCCAGTGGTTAAAGCGTTCGCTCGTCACGCCGGGTTCAATTCCCGATTTTGGAACAATGTGTGGAGCCCATTTCTGGTGTCTCCCGCCGTGATATTGCTGGAATATTGCAAAGAGCGGCGTAAAACCCAACTCACTCACTCACTCTACTGGTTTGCAAATGAGTACGTTTAAACGTAAACGATATGTATTATTGTCAGTACTATAACGTTCTATCTGTATGGCATATGCATGTATCGTTCAAACATGACATGTGTCAGTGTACTGTTGGAAGGATACATAAAGGGATGTCAATGTCAAGGTGATTTCGATGTGTACAAGTGACTTTATGTATATATTTTTATTACGACATCACCATGTTCTATTATTTAAAGTTGGCAATCTAAAATTAAGTTGCCATAACATGATAGAGGACCTGTCAAAGTCAGCATTTCATTGTATATAAGAAAGGGTTATTTGATAATGTATTCCTCTCAGCAGCGTTGAATTATTTCCAGCTATGATAAACAGAGCATAACGTACCGTCTTCCGACAAACAAGTTGAGTGGGCCTCCTGGTATTTCAGCCAATGAATTGAGAAAGAAGTTCAGGTAGAAGTCGTCACTTAGGGATGAGGATGTCAGATAGAGGCTGAAGTAGGTCAAGCTGTCGACCAACCTGTAACATTGGTATAGTGTAACTACACAAATTTATTTTGATACTGTGTTTACTCTCATGTTAAATGTTTCAAGCCATTTGACTTACATAAGGTTACGACGAACTTGAAGTGACCAAGAAGTTTAGTTCTTTATAACCGTAGTTCGGTATACGCAATTCAACAATACACACAGGCCCTTAACAAACAACACAGGATATACACATGCAAATTAAGTATAGTTTTAAAATAGAACAAGGTTAACTACTCGAAACCGAATTTGAAACGTAACACAAAGAGTAAAGTTTCAAACATGAAATTTTACTCTACATTTAAACCAATGCTTGTAAGGACAAAGGAACGTGGGCTCTGTGGCCCAATCCGAGTGAAGCACCCTTTAATAGCCCTTAAAAATATGGCAATGAATTTGTACATATCGTTCTTGTTTACATCAAAATAGATAAGCCTTTGAGGTAAAATAGGGTTTAACTTCGTACTCAAGAATATTTCGCTCATATGAAGACGTGCATGCGTGTGTATGTGTGGCTGCTTGTACAAGCCCAGACTTAACCTGGTTTAATAGTGTTAGCTCACTGAGATACCATGCCGCAGTTAAGCATGAATACCCCACCCAGACACATTATACTGACTCCTAGGCAACCAGTTCTACCATTTAATGCTGAGCGCCAGGCAGGGACCAAGAAGTACCATATTCTAATGTCTTTTGGTATGATGCAGCTGGGGATTAAACCCGCGACCGTCCGCTCTGCGGGAGGACGCTCTAATCACTACACCACGGAGGCGAAATATAAAAGCCTTTGAAAGTGAGCAGCACATCAAAGGTTGTAAATATAAAGTAGAACTCAAAGGAAAACTACAGAAGTATATTTTTCCATACGCCTATCACTTCTACTGCAAGAGTGAATAGCCATCGACAATTGCTAATTACGCATTGAGGACCATTTATCTGATTGGAACAATCTTACCTGTCGTGTAATTTCCATTATTCAGACTCACCAGGAAAACCACACAACAGCACTGATTTTTAACATAAACTTGGTCCGCACCAAGTCAAGGCAACTGTACTGCACATCCCCTGTGTGTTTCTCTGGTGGAGCTTCAACGTATTTACTCTTGGTGGTGCTCAGCTCAACTGGCTTGTCCTTATTGTCGATACCTGGTAGTTGAACGTCGGTCACGTCAACGTTGTTCATCTTGGCTGCTCTCCTGAACAACGCCAAGGCTCTTTTGGCCTTCTTGTTCGTGATCAGCCATCTCAGGGACTCCCCCATAAAGCTAAAGAAAATAACATCGGGTTATTTTATTAAGTCTAAGTCTCAACAAATGTTATTGTTAGATCATTGAATGATTGCGTATTATATACTGAGAGATAGGACGGGGTAGTGGCTTCATTATCAAAACCGTTCCATAAAGCCAGCAGGGTCACCATCTGATCAATGAGACATTTTGACATTTCCGTTGACGATGTTGTTATCATTGTCTATCGCATGCATGGAACATAATGGTGGGCTTTAGGATTGTAGTGTGATATTGCTTTAACAAAGGAACAACTTGATATGACATCCACTTGCAGGATATGTTTGTGTATAGATTTGCCATTGTTTAGTTATTGCACTATTAATGTTATGCGGATGAAACGCCATAAGGCGGCCAGTAACTCACAGACCAAAATCTATTTTAGTCGCTAGCAAATGGCCATCAGCTCCTCCTAAAATAATGACGCGACTACAAACAATTTGTTAGGAAATTATTTCACAAAATGCAAAGCCAAAAAATGCTTTACAAAAGTACACATTTCTTTCCCGGACCGTATTCATTTCACCAAGTACGGGCATGATTCAATCTGGACTCACAAGATTTGAAGAAGGACACTGATGGACACCGACACGAAACAGAGCTGCAGAGTTCTCCAGTCCATATCACGTAACAAGTAGGCCACCCCTGTGAGGATTACCGTACTGACACTCCATGTTAAGGTGTAGCATGTGGACAGTTCAATTCGTCTGTTTTTGGGAAAGGTCTCCATTAACATAGTGTAGGTACACACAACAATACCCTGTAACAGAGGTTGTATATGTCATGCAATGGTAATGACATTTTGTGTAATATTCTCATACTAGCAGTTTCCATATCTAATATTAACGGGGCGGTGGGGTAGCCTAATGGTTAAAGCGTTGGCTCGTCACACCGAAGACCCGGGTTCGAATCCCCACATGGGCACAATGTGTGAAGCCCATTTCTGGTGTCTCCCGCCGTGATGTTGCTGGAATATTGCTAAAAGCGGCGTAAAACCAAACTCAGTCAGTCAGTCTAATATTAACGGCACACTTTTTCCAATGTTTCCTTCCTGGTGTACATCAGTTGTGTGTGATATGTGAGACCAGACGAAGGACATAATAACATGGTCATATGGTATTGCTACACTATCGATAACAGCATTGGCGTATACATGTTTGCAAGGGTGAGTGAGTTAAGATTTACAGTCAGTATTTCAGCCATATCGTGACTAAAACAAGTTTTAAATTCACCATAAGTACATATAAGTTATAAAAAACCTGTCAACGAAGGACAGTAAAACAACAAGAATATTACAGATATTAATATAAAACTGTACGTAAATATAAAACAGTTTACCAATAGAGGACGATACAATATAAAAACAGACTATAGACTGGCAACACCTTTAGGTAGATCACCATACTAGGGACCATGGGGACTTACAGTACATTTGCTTCTGCATGGACCCTAGCTGGATTTACACCATCCCTTCAGCTGTCAGCAAGTTTAGACAAGCTAGCCATAAATTAAAATAGCATATATTCTACGGTTAAAGACAGCGATATGTTTACTTTGAATGTTTTGGGACTTACGTACCCAGGAGGAGGACATTACATTTACAATACCTCGAACCCATGTGAGGATACAGCCACTTAAAGATACAATTTCAGCTGTTCAATTTTAAAAATATATTTATATATTTACAAATCCTGTATAACAATTAATAAAACAATTCTATTTCTTTAAAAAATGCAATAATTAAATGATAATGAAAATGATCCCTCATTGTTTTGACACTGAAATATTTATTCCTTGTGATGGAAATATCAATACAGTCATGTTTGTAAGATGATACGTAAATGAATAGTAAAGCATGTGCTACATAACATTTCAAATAGTATACACTTAAAACAAAGTAGTCGAACTCTATTTTTAATTTACGATTGAAAAAGTTTGGAGGTATAACGGAGTCAATCAATGTTGATATGATAATAATGAAATGTTTTGAGAGTGCATCACCACTTGCACTTCCTTATGACCATAGTTGTGTGTACAGTAATCGCTCTTGAAAGATGATTGGTGTATGACGTGAAAATTGCATGTGTACGATTTGTCGTTTTCAGCCAAAACAAATGGCTAGAAACAAACACTAACAACTGTGTAATGCAAGATGATTGTCGAAATGAATGGTCCACAGTGATTTATCGACCTTCGTGAAGCCGTCAAAATCAAGAATGACACCCAATGCATGGGGCTACTGCGTTGTGCACGTGTTTAGGTATGGTGATAAAGGGTAATTTTGGTGCGTTCATAAGTCTGTCTTTGAAAAGTTTGATAACGCTTATACTTCCTATCCAAATTAAAATTTCAGCTTCCCCTACTTTTTTAAAGCGTACATATACATGAATGAAGGCCAAATAAGGACTGCAAATTCATAGTTCACAGATTATTTTGAAAGAAAGAAAGATGTCCTTTCATCAAACACGCACATGATGTTAGCGGACATTGCCATCTCAACTGTAGTGTGTGAGTGAGTTTAGTTTTACGCCGCACTCAGCAATATTCAAGCTATGACATGTGTCAACCAAGTCGGCGAGCCTGACCACCTGATCCCGCCGCACTCAGCCATATACCAGTTATATGGCGGCGGTCTGTAAATAATCGTGTCTTGACCAGACTATCCAGTGATCAACAGCATGAACATCGATCTACGCAATTGGGATACGATTTCATGTGTCATCCAAGTCGGCGAGCCTGACCACCCAATCCCGTTAGTCGCCTCTTACGACAAGCATGTGTTACTGAAGATCAATTCTAACCCGGATCTTCACGGGTTCCTAACTGACAGCTAATACAGCTGTAACATGGACAATGACTGCAATGAAACGTTTACCTGTTGAAAAATACCGTTCAGCATTCTCAGAACAGAGAAAGCTGCGATACTCGGAGCGAAAGCTGACGCAAGACCGGCACCGGCCGTCAACACGTGTGACGTGACAAGGAAAGGCTTCCTTCCGAATTTGTCCGACAAAACCGATACAGTAGCTGCGCCAACTCCTTGTCCTACGATGAAGAGTGACTGCGGGAGGCGGGCGAAGAAGATGTCCCCACAAGCAAGATCCCACTATAAAACAGACTTTATGGCATATATTACATCTTCATCCGTCTTTTCATTAGTCTTATATTAGAATTATAGCACAAACATTATTTAATAGTTGCCTGTCATAGTAACTTTTAATGGAAGCTTGAAAATTACCTCCGACACAATGGAATGGTCTCTCTCCATATCATATGTCCAGGCACTGCATGCATGTGTTGACGTGACATTGGTGGTGGTGTTCCGTACAGACACGTCGCATTTGCCGTAGTCGGTGTTGGTGTCGTTGCCATAAAGTGGAATCACAGCACATTGTTGTTTCACGGGCTGAGCTGTTGAACAATGCATTGAGATGTAAACTCTGAGTCAAGATTGATTGATTGATTGATTGATGTTTAACGCCGCATTCAGCTATATTCCAGCTGTAATGTGGCGTTCTGTAAATAATCGAATCTGGATCGGACAATCCAGTGATCAACAGCATGATCATCGATCTATGCGAGAGTGACCACCCGATCCCGTTAGTCGCCTCTTACGTCAAGCATGGGTTGCTGAAGACCAATTCTAACCCGGATCTTCACTGGTCTGAGGCAATAACTCTAACAATTCTATTATCAGGTTGCCAAGGGAACCCGTAACTGCATATGTATTATCTGACTAGTTAAGTAAGTAAAATGTTCCTATTAGGTTGCCAAGGTAATTTGTATATGGATCAAATTATATGCCTTATTGTTTTGCCTGACTGTAATTGATAATGCATTGCAATATGTCAGCTATTTTTGAATATACAGACGTACCTATAAACACGAAGTTAAGGAGATGGAAACAAATTGTCACATTTCCAACAGCAAGCAGGACAGCTTGAAACAGCTGATAGCGCCCGAGAGTGCCAAGAAGCTCCAGGATACTGTCAATAGTGCGTGGTTGGTCCTTTTTAACGTCAGCCATGGTCAAACCTCTGAAATTAACATGCCAGTGATTGGTTTCATATCACCATTGCAATCACTCTCCATCACTGATAATTGCGATTTACACACAATTCGTGTATTTTACGGTCTCCGAGTTTATACTCATATCTTTGAGGTGAGGTGAAATGGTGTTTAACGTCGTACTTAAGAATATTTCGCTCATATGACGACGTGCATGCGTGTGTATGTGTGGCTGCTTGTACAAGCCCAGACTTAACCTGGTTTTATAGTACTAGCCCACTGAGACACCATGCCGCAGTTAAGCATGAATACCCATCTCAGACACATTATACTGACTCCGAGCTGACCAGTCCTTGTTTTACCCATTAATGCCGAGCGGCAGGACCAGAGACCAACAAGTACCAAATTTTAACTATGTTGCTATGACGCGGCCGGGGACGTCTTTTGGTAACCCGCGACCTTTCGCTCTGCGGTCGGACGTTCTAACCACTACACCACGAAGGAGATCAAACATCGATTCTTTGAAAACGAAATGGTTGAAGTGTGGCTTTATACGCTCTGAGCAGTACGTATTCTGACAGTGTGTATTTAAAGTTATTTTATCTGACTGAAAATGTCACAGATCGTACACGTTTGGCGCTTTGGTAAGACCAAAACACACGCGTATAATTCTGAAAACCCAAGACACAAAGTCAAGATGAACAGGGGATTCGAACTCGGTACAGCGACTTTTGGCACCTTAGACCACGGGTCATCAACGTCACGTGCCCTAAAACACGTCTGAAAACAGACACACGTAACATAACATAATGCTTGCGGTTTGAACAATAACAATGTATATCTTTATGTTTGAACAATGTATATCTTATTTATCAGGTTGCTTCCTATTCAGCTATTAATCTGCATTATTTGTTTGTTTTACATGTGTTAAGAAATATACATTAGCTTTGGAAAAACACTTGGAACTCATTCCGTTTGACTCTTAACTCAAGGGAAATTAAAAACAAACCGTCACCTGTAACAAGTTAATTTGGAGACTTGCGTTTGAATACATCCAAGTGAACAAGAGTGATGGAAGAGGGAACAAGTGACACCATTACGTCACAAAAACAAGCACATAATATGTACTGCTAGCATTTATTGCTTTAAATTCTGAAATGCATAAGTTTCACCATTTCTTGGTAGTATTTCAAGTAAACTGTTTATGTCGTTAGAACAAATCATTGACAAAAATAACTTACTTGCGGTGGCCATCTTTGTTTACAGCTAAGGGAGATGAAAGTAGTCCGAAAATATTGACCAATCAGAAATTTGCTCAAAACATACCAAAACTATATCTCCTCTGGAAACCAGTATTGGATGATAATTTATTCACAACTCACAAGCTATGTTCTTTAGCAACGAACGCTAGGTGGGAATTATCTGTTGTGTCTTAAGTCGTAGAACACCTGCTCAGAGGTTTTTTCAGTTCACGATGAATTGCAACACATACTATCTCAGTAATTTTGGATATAGGTGTACAGAACTGAACAAAAGTTTCGATGATGTCCCTCTGCCCGCCTGTGAACGTAACAAACATTTCATGTGTACGGGCTTTGTTTATTGTAGTGTTACTAAAGGTTACAGTACGACACAGGGAATACACACAGTGTCACTCGGTTCTACTTCTAACATGTGCTCAAGGCAGCGAGCGTGTGGGTTGCTGGATCTCAGTGTTGAGCTTGTTAACAAAAGCTACTTGAGGGAGACCCAGGTATTCCCCTACCGTGTATGTGCATAAATATGTCAGATGATACGCGTCTCCTATTGAAGCATGTTCTCTTGTCGGATGTTTATGTTGTAGACATGAACGCGTATTGTGCATCATTGTATTGGCATATATTGTAAATTTGGGAAAACACTTTCTTAGTAAAGTACAGATTCTAGTACTTTTGTTGTTCGAATCCCGGATGGGAATCAACCCAACGGAAGCACTAGTATCTGTACTTTACTAAGAAAGTGTAATCCCAAACATAACATGTGTTACATTTGATCACTTTCTAATGGCATCCTGTATTCATTGTATTGACAGTTTTTGTTCTTGACGTCAATACTTTAAACAACGTATGTATAATGACACGTAATTTCACAAATAATCGGCAGTTGGGATATCTCAAGCATGGCATCATCGACATATTACAATTTTGTATATAGACATATTTTAGCAACGGTTGAACATTATTTTGTAATGACAACATGGACATTACAAGAATGAAATCATCTGAATATTACCTCCTGTAAATAACCTGTTATCCATCAAACCCTTATCACAGACAAAACGAAGCTAAGAGAAGTAGAAGAGCATATGGGTTTATACACATAGAACTGTCAACAATGTCAAGGTGTAGTCATCCCTCGAGTGTTTATTATATGTTATTTATGTGTCGATAAAGTGATAGCTGACAGCTGACGCTCCACAAATGGCATGAGATTTCCACTAATTTATTGCGACAAGGCCCTTTCCACATCTGTACAAAATTTCTGCTAAAAGCACAGTCGACTGCGCAAGTCGAGCTATTTCATGAGCACTTTTATGAAACGATATCAAACAGTTATGATAACATGGTGTTCGTGAAAACCTGGGCAGATTTTGTCCCACAGGTATCACAGGCAATAAACACATGCAACGGCTCGTCAATTGTTCATCTTGAAGAAAACACCGTGAAAATAGGGATAGGGAATTGCATCGGATGTCATGTTTGTCTCTGATGCCTCGTATTGGGACCCGTAATACTTGAGTTGATATCAACCTGTCGTAACAGTGTGATGGAGAAATGGCACCCATGACAAGGAAGTCACGTATATTTATTTGTACACAGCACGAAAGGTGAATCTATTGTGGGGCCCTGTTTTGTGAGTGGCGTTGAAAGTATTCTTGCCATGACATCGAAGTGGCAAAAAAATGCTTAAATATTAACAGAGCGTTTCGTATATACTGTAGCACGATAACAGTACATAGTAATACTACGGTACTGCTCTGTAGCTAACGGTGATCACAAAAAGGGCGGGCCGGAGACTGTGAGAGAGGCTAGGGCTGTGTTCCAGACGTTGACCCGATATGACCAAAGATATTCTTCAAACTACTCGTCTGCTCTGCTCTGCTTATCTTGTCCTGGCCAGTGTTCAGCGCCCTCCTGTGCCTCTCTGTTCTTCAGACTACTCTTCTGTTCTGCTCTGCTGGTCCTGTCCTGGTCAGTGTTCAGCGCCGTCCTGTGCCTCTCTGTTCTTCAGACTACTCTTCTGTTCTGCTCTGCTGGTCCTGTCCTGGTCAGTGTTCAGCGCCCTCCTGTGCCTCTCTGTTCTTCAGACTACTCTTCTGTTCTGCTCTGCTGGTCCTGTCCTGGTCAGTGTTCAGCGCCCTCCTGTGCCTCTCTGTTCTTCAGACTACTCTTCTGTTCTGCTCTGCTGGTCCTGTCCTGGTCAGTGTTCAGCGCCCTCCTGTGCCTCTCTGTTCTTCAGACTACTCTTCTGTTCTGCTCTGCTGGTCCTGTCCTGGTCAGTGTTCAGCGCCCTCCTGTGCCTCTCTGTTCTTCAGACTACTCTTCTGTTCTGCTCTGCTGGTCTTGTCCTGGCCAGTGTTCAGCGCCCTCCTGTGCCTCTCTGTTCTTCAGACTACTCTTCTGTTCTGCTCTGCTGGTCCTGTCCTGCTCTGCTGGTCCTGTCCTGGTCAGTGTTCAGCGCCGTCCTGTGCCTCTCTGTTCTTCAGACTACTCTTCTGTTCTGCTCTGCTGGTCCTGTCCTGGTCAGTGTTCAGCGCCGTCCTGTGCCTCTCTGTTCTTCAGACTACTCTTCTGTTCTGCTCTGCTGGTCCTGTCCTGGTCAGTGTTCAGCGCCGTCCTGTGCCTCTCTGTTGACTTCGTTTGTTTGGTCAAGACCCTCTACTTGACGTAAACGTCAGAGGTTCGTGACCAGCAACTGACCGAATCGTGACCTCCATGAGAAATTTGTGTGACAACCAAGCCCGCCTGTCTAGACCGCCTCTGACCATCAAATAGTGTAACCCAGTTACAGCACATAACAGAACCATACGACTCGAGAGATGGTTTGTCAGGGTTACATCTTTGTAGATCATATATCAATTGTGACACGTTATTAATAAACAAGCTTGGGCGGTAGGCAGCCTAGTGGTGAAAGCGTTAACTTGTCACGCTGAAGACACGGGTTCGATTCCCCACATGGTACAATGTGTGAAGCCCATTTCTGGTGTCCCGGCTGTGATTGTGGTGGAATATTGCGAAAACCGGTTTAAGAACATACTCACTCACTCACGCTATCATATACAGTTCCCTGTTTGGCACACAACCCTTGATAGCATCAGTATTTGTTCGTAAGCACGTGCTTGAAATGACGTCGGAAGGTCTCTCAAAGATATATTATCATTATTGATTACAAACGAATTACCTGCAAAGCAATCAACAATTGATGTCAAATGAAACAGATTCCATCAATTGACTTGTGTTTCCACGATTTTATAGCCTATAGGAAGAATAATTTCAATATACATACACCTAATATAACTTGAGTTGAGTTGAGTTTTACGCACTAATATACTAAGTTTCCCTACATTGGACAAGGGCAGTAAGGTAGCCTAGTGTTTAAAGCGTTCACTCATCACGCCGAAGAGCCGGGTTCGATTCCCCACATGGGTACAATGTGTGAAGCCCATTTCTGGTGTCCCCCGCCGTGGTATTGCTGGAATACATGTATTGCTACAAGCGGCGTGAAACTATACTCACTCCCTTCAATTATTCTACTCAGTTATTATGCTGAAGTTTTTATTGCTATTTAAACTATATAGAAAGAACAGTGTGGTTCAGAGGAAGTGATCATCATCATCATCATCTTTTACGTGAGGGGCAAAGCCTTGTAGCTACATCTTCTCGTGACGTGACATACCCGGGCTTCATTTGAAACAGCATTACACTGTTTTGAGTGTTTGCCGGACGTGACTTGAATGTTGGTAAAAGAGGTGTAAAAACCTACTTCATCAGATAAATAGTTCACAAAGGACTTGACAGATAAAGAGTTCTCAACAGTACTTGACAGCGAATGTAATATTTAGGGTAAATATGATTATATCACAGATCACAGCGTGCATTTATCATTGATTTCGTTCGAAAAAAATGCGATATATAAAAGTACATACCCCAAGGTTGAGATTAAAGCAGCACGATCAGTGTGTGTTGAGGGGTGGCCGCTACTTCGCCCACTGCTTGTATGCGTTTACACAAATGTGTCATGAGAAAACAGGTGTAGATTTCCGCTCGTTCAGCTCGATCAGAATCTGGGTTAGAAGGTCGTATTCACCAGCTACACATCTGGGCTCTAATGCACAGTAGTAAGCCAACCTGATGATGACGATTTTGATATTTAACGTGCGCTTTCCGACAGAATGCTTATTTCATGCACGGGCTCGCCAGGCCATTTAGTGTTTGTTCAACAAGGGCTCATTTGACCGAAAGATATGGCAACCTGAAGGCAGCGTTAGGGTTGCATTCTTATGAATTTTGAATTTGGAAATTGCCAAAAGTGATAGGGGAGGTGAACTAGGGGATGGTTTGGATGGTAGTTGATTTGTTGTTTCTTGTGGTTTGTTTTTGTAAAAACAAATATCACCAATTGGTTATGTGGGATTATATATGCGACCCAGAAGGCCAGTTGTGATAAGAAATACACATAAAGGACCGTTCATAACTTATGGCTAAGGGGTGATGATGACTGTTATGGAGAAGTATGTACCATGTGAATGACACCCCTAATTTTCATGTACAAAGTAAGTGCCCCCTTCTGTAACTATGAGAAAATCGTGTTTCTTTCTTTGTACAATCCAAATAATCCAGAGGAAGCGGTATTGTTCATATGAAATGTCAAAATGAATTGTTCCATCGTAACTGGTAAAAATGCTGATTTCGGTCCCCAGTGAACACAATTTCACAATGTTACTGTACCCTTGAACTCTGTTTTGTTTAATCCCTTAAAATAACACTTCTGTCACGCATTATCGCAGACAAAAGTCTAGTTCATGGGAATACCCCAACGTGACTACTCAACGTCTTACAACCTCGCATGCTTTCGAAAAACAAGGTGAGGTGAGGTGAAATTGGGTTTTACGTCGTGCTTGAGAATATTTTGCTCATATGACGACGTGCATGCGTGTGTATGTGTATGTGCGGCTGCTTGTACTAGCCCAGACTGAAGCTGGTTTTATAGTCCTAGCCCACTGAGTGAAGCATGAATACCCCACTCAGACACATTATACTGACTCCGATCCGTCCTTGTTGTACCCATTAATGCAGAGCGCTAGGCAGGGACCAACAAGTACCATATTTTAACGTCTTTTGGTATGACGCGGTCGGGGATCGAACCCGCGACCTTCCGCTCTCCGGGCGGACGCTCTAACCACTACACCACGGAGGCGGTTCGAAAAACAAGAGCTACCCATTATGTGAAGAGGCGGAGCTTGGTAGCTAAGAAATGTGGAGTCTTACAGAAGCTATTTAAATGTCATACGTTAGCTGTAAACATATCGTGTGCCGTTTACTGAATCAGCTTACTGTAACCCTGACCGTTTGGAGGAATTACCACTATGTGTACCAATACTATCAACGTTTATCAATGTTAGGAAGGTTTTTTATTGCTGTCTTTTACAACCCCAAATTCACGAGGATTGAGGAAGATGTCTTATTAACAAATTACATGATAGTTAAACTGTAACATGTGTCGTTTAATTCTGAGTTATGTTTGTTTAATGCGTACACTTTCTGTACGGTAATACGTGAAGTGTTATGTTGTCTCACCAGAAGGCAAACAACGCTGACACGATATATGTGTTTTGAGAGGCGCATCTCAGCAGCGTGTCTCTAAGATACTGATAATGTTTGCATGAGTCTTGTCTACCGTAGAAATGTATATCAAAAGTAAATACGTTAGTCTGTAGTATCTACAGTAGGCCGAATGTTTGTTCAAGGAGATAATACCAGTTCGTGGTCTTCGCACGTCTCACACCGTCTACAGAACATTGATTGATTGTTGTTTAACGCCGCACTCAGTATTATTCCAATTATATGGCGGTGGTCTGTAAATAATCGAGTCTGGACCAGACAATCAAGTGATCAACAGCATGAGCATGGATCCACTCAACTGGGATACGATGACTTGTGTCAATCAAGTCAGCGAGCCTGACTACCTGATCCTGTTAGTCGCCTTTTACAACAAGCATGGGTTGCTCAAGATCAATTGTAACCCGCATCTTCCATGTCGTCTACAGACCAACAGGCATCCCCTGGTATCACGTGCCATAACAAGCAGGGAGAATATTCGTAAATTGTAAAATATTATTTTTATGCAGCCATCCTTTGTTTATCGTGAGTCTTGGTTAACCCGAAGGTGACGCTTTCCCTCGTCTCACAATCCGGTTCAAATTACCACATTGGACAAATGTATCTGTGCTATTGCTGGAAAATATTTGAACCAAACAACATATACATTGGTGCATAATGACTGCACTACTTACTTCTTTAGACAAAATACTGGGAAAATAGTCTGGAAAGACATACGTCGGATATTATGACATATTCACGAAGGACATGCAGTTCAAGACATTTGATTTATTTTCTGCATTGTATTCCAAAAATACAAACTAAGATAATGCAGTTATGAAAAACAGCAGCCTGTGAATGTGCATGTTTCAGTATGTTGTCCAGTTGATGGTGATGTACGTTTTTCACAGGTATCGTACATAAATCCATCAATTCAAAGTTTTATCACTTTTACAATTCACATGCTATTTCCATCAAACAAAATAAACTGTAAAACAAAAATAAAAAACACATTTTACAGGTGATTATATGCTATATATCAATGGTACATGCCCCAGAAGGACGTATTGTCATAATTGTCAATTATGTATTGTCCGTGGTTTTGTCAATATGACATTAAAGATAACAATAATATACACACACACACACAAATGTCATGTAAGTTGGTTTAGGTATGCATCTTACATATGTATATTACTATAAAAATATTTGTGTCCATGTCTATAATCCTTTGAACATTATCCTTGGAATATTATTTTGCGAAGTTGCGCAGCTTTGTTAAATCAATCTTTTGCGGGTGCTTTACCCCATGCCTTGACGTCCTCTATAGTCTGGGGAAGTTCTCGCCCCTCTGGTTCAGGAAGAAAATAATTGAGCGCTGCTGTTACCAAACACGCTATCCCGAAAATAATTCCAGGAGCCCAGGGAACGACGTCGGCCTGAAATAAAACGGTAAAGGATGTATTCACATGTTTAATGCGTGATGATATGACACAATTCTGTAACGTAGAGACTGTGTGTGTTGATGTGAAAACCAGCTATAGTTAAGATCGCCTGTATACATATTTGTATTTTGGTTGAAAAATCGAACTGGCACAGTGTTCGTAATTTTGATAACTCACAAGAATGGATATGAAAGGTGCGATCATCCCTCCGACCCTAGCAGCTGTGGAACCAGATCCCATACCGGCTGACCTGCAAACGAAATTCGTAACATATGTCAATATTATTGTAAAGCAAAACAATATTTAAAGTCAGTCATTTCACGATGTGCCTGTCAGATTCAGATCATGATGCAAAGGAATGTTGGGAAAAGTCGTATAAGGAATATTATGTACACATTTCTGTCATACTACTTGTACGACAAGTATGAATTCCAGGGAAATGGCAAAATGTATGAAAATGCTTACACAAGATTAGTTTATGAGAGCCATGACGAAACAGAAACATATTTGACACCAGAAAAGAACAAATGAAGGTAACGATCCAATGACCCCAATTTGATTGATCAGTGAGTTGTTTAGCTGTGCATAAGGAGACGCGGTAAGAAGCGTCGTCGTTGCCTGGTCTGAACTTCTTGCGAAATGAACGCATAAACCTAGAGGATACAGTCTATGCAATAGCATACATTTCTAAATTCCAAAAACGCACATGGCTACTTCTTGAACCTACTTAAACTCTCATGTGAAATGTTGCTTCAATGGTCAAATGGGATTGAAACCGTCAAGCTGCGTGAAGAATATAATCAAATTTTAGTTTAAAATTTAGGATGCAGACGTCCTTGATATCAGGTACATCAAGGTACTACCAGCAATAAGGATATGAAGAAGCTTTCCAAGAAATTAACATTAATAATATTGTCTCCAATATTGTAATTTACCTGAGATTTGTCGGATAGATCTCGGGAGCATACACAAACATGGCATTGAAACAGGCACTGTTACCAATTTTCCCAACGAAGGCCAAGGCAGTGGCCGTTATAGATGCTGCATCTCCAGCTGAAAGTCAAGTTAGTTTGCACGATTAGTCAGTAAGCATACCTTTCCTCATAAATATAATACAAAGTCCTGTGGCCATGAAAGCGTCAAAACCCTTTCCATTACGATGCCGTGCCGACTGCATTAAATACTGTCATGACGTTTCTCAATTCAAGGCCTTTACTCAAGGAAATCAACTTGTGAGTACTAATATTTTTGTTCATGCACATGGATATTGGCAATTTAGGATTTACACGTGGTTGTCCACGAGATAGTGCGGACAATTATTAGCGATTATTGAAGATATGTATCCACAACACTGCTTCTTGAAGAAACTCACCCGCAAATGTCCGAACCATTGTTGCCAAAATAAGACATACACCGGCAAGTACGTGGAAAGACATGAAGAACGCTCTCCGTCCCCACCTACACCGTAACAACAGTGGAGATAATTATCAAAATTTGAAATGCAGAAACGTGTTGAGTAAAATACACTTAAAATGTTTCGTGTGGATCATCATTATTGGTAACTGATCAAATAAATAACTGTTTGAACAGCTCGATTATCTATTATCATTAATATTATTACAGTGGATGCACAAGCCACCTCGTTTTCGTTGGCTACCTTTGCAACTAGTAAGCCCTAAATGAATATGAGTAAAGGCGTTCACTACGAATCATAATGAAAGGTCTTTAGATTGGACTTCAGTATAGTTTGTGTATAAAATTAAAGCCATATGTACAAAATGTACACATCTGTTTTACGATTGTCATTCCAGTCAGTCGCTATAAAGAAATACATCAACCTTAGTACTTCGAACTGTTTTCAACATATGCAAATGTATTGTAGAAAACAAAATGAAATCAATAATGTCGTTAAGCGCATAAAATGAACAGTAGGCTATTCCATTATCAGCAAAAAGGCCACAGCTGTCTCTTTGTTTTATGTGGCCTATTGTTGTTATTGTTGTTGTTTTCTTGTGTTTTCGAAACGCAAAAATATTTTACCGGGATGGCCAATCAAACCGAATGCAACACATTTTCTACGTGACGATAATTTCCCAGTTACGACTTAAAAGCTTAACACAACTTCAACTAAGCTTAAAAGGAACAGTGTGCTTTCCAAGAGACATTGCCTCCTTTGACGCCTACAATATCATTAGCCCCGTGACGACACGGGTTAGAATTGGTCACCAGCAGCATATGTTTGTACGAGACGACTAACGGGGTCGGCAGGTCACTCTCGCTGACTTGGTTGACACATGTCATCGTATCCCAATTGTGTAGATCGATGCTCATGATGTTGATTACTGGGTTGTCAGGTCAAGACTTGATTATTTACAGACTGCCGCCATATAGCTGGAATATTGCTGAGAGCGGCGTTAAGCAACGAACAATCGAACACAATATAATATCATAACATGGTGGGCATATGCTGTAGTGCACCTGTACATTGGAACAGTCAAATATAAATATTCTAAAACAATACTTATTTGCGATGTCTACCTTTGAAGTATTTGTTCCTTTTTTAAAGTAATGCCATGTACATAAAAGTAGACAAAAATGTGTGAACCTTATGCTAAAAAGCATTTCTCTTTAGCTTTTACATACGTTTCAAATCATGATGGTCTTAGTCATCAAAACATGTCGTTTTACAATATATTGGTCCAATGTATCTGTTCTGGAGTCTTATCAGAATAAATTCCACAGACAAAACCACCACAATAGCTTCGTTTTGAGTCGTTGTAATTGCGTTTTAACATGGGAATCTAGTGCTATCGCCACCAGTATTTGTCGCAAGTCATCGTAACATAAAACAGATATATTGCAAATGATTATCTGTCATTTGACTGTCAGAACTTCATTTACCATGAGATGAGAAGGGGTTAACATCGTGAGTCTCAACTTTCCCTTAAAGTATATTATTCAGTTATCGATTATGATACACAGAACTTTACAGACCTTCTTCCGACAAACCAGAAGAGCGGCCCCGATGGTACGCCAGCCAATGAGTTGAGGAAGAAATTCAGATACTGATCATCATGTAGGGATGAAGATGTCAGATAGAGGCTGAAGTACGTCAAACTGTCAACCAACCTGCAACATTGTTACAACATAAACTAACTTACTAAAATCCGATACACTCTTAAATGTTAAGTAAACCGGTTGACACTATTAAACATATTCACCAAATGTGCCAAATATGTACCAAATACATATTTACCAAAAGGTAAGTGAGATCCCTTGGACAAACATTCTATTAAATATAGCTATGGGTCATTCAAGCAATTCCAGTTTACAAATATTGCAAAACACACGATACCCATAGACATAATAGGACGCCGGAGGTCTTTTAATTTCAATTTAAGATCGAAAGCCTGCCTACTGTTATATATTTTAAGAACTGACTGGGTATCAGCAATTACAAACGACGTGCTACATTGTCTTACTTCAGTCAATAAGTACTGTTATGAGTGAGTTTAGTTATACGCCGCTTTTGGCAATATTCCAGCAATATCACGGCGGGGACACCAGAAATGGGCCTCACACATTGTACCCATGTGGGGAATAGAACCCGGATCTCCGGCGTGACGAGCGAGCGCTTAACCACAAGGCTACCCCCAACGCTCTGTTATGACCAATTGCTTTGGTCACACGGAAGACGTTTTAACAAGTGTAATATTATCATTCACTACAACTGTTACTTTCAGAGTAATGTATTTATAAACTGGGAATGTAATCAGCCTTTGGAATCATTTGTTCATAAACCGCCAATGTTTTGCCACTACCATATCCTATAGAACACCAATATCAGTACAACAACAAAATTGTGACTCATAAATATGAGGATTAGAATTTTCACAACCCAAACGTGTCATTAGAGGCAACGATCGGGATTGGTTGTGAGGTTTTCAAATTTGGTTAATGGAAGTTATCGATCAATCACTAGAATGTCTGGTCCAAACTCAAATATTAACGGATCGCCGCCATATTGGATTTTACCAAATATAACTGCTGATTGACTGTTCTGACTCAGCAAAATCACTGATAACATCTCTTTAATGTATTCTCACCAGGAGAACCACACGACGGCACATATCTTCAACATAAACTTGGTCCGCACCAAGTCAAGGCAACTGTACTGCACATCCCCTGTGTGTTTCTCTGGTGGAGCTTCAACGTATTTACTCTTGATGGTGCTCAGCTCAACTGGCTTTTCCTTATTGTCGATACCCGGTAGTTGAACGTCGGTCACGTCGACGTTGTTAGTCTTGGCTACCCTATTGAACAACGCCAAGGCTCTTTTGGCCTTCTTGTTCGTGATCAACCATCTCAGGGACTCAGCCATAAAGCTGTAATGCAAATAGAAACATCTTTGTATTCGTATAACAAAAGTCATCGCCTACGTTTCAGTCATGACCGGATGATCATGATTGTGACTGATGTAATAGTGTTAAGGCAACTTCAAACGCCCATTATTTTTTCCTGGAACAACTGCTTGAGGTATTTATGAAAATATACGATAATAGGACCAAGACTATATTAAGACCTGTCGTGCCATTATCAGTATAAGTACCATCTGCTTGGAACATGCTTATGTATTAGTTATACAGATGGGCATGGTCAGTTCTCAGCTGCCTAAAAAGGCACCTATAAATGATATGTTAGAAACCAAAACATTTTCCATTAATGTATGTTCATGTTATATTCTTATTCCTTTCGACAAATGTGAATAAGAAATAATTTGTACTCACAAGATTTGTAGAAAGACACTGATAGACACAGAAACGAAACAGAGCTGCAGAGTTCTCCAATCCATATGACGTAACAAGTAGGCCACCCCTGTGAGAAGGATGGTGCTGGCATTCCACGATAAGGTGTAGAATGTGGATATTTCAATACGCTTGTTTCTTGGGAACGCTTCCATTATCATGGTGTATGTACACACAACGATTCCCTATAAACACAACAGGGTGGTATTGGTCATTTATAATGCAATGATACTGTGTGCCATATCTTCATACCAGCAATATCAAGTGAGTGAGTGAGTTTAGTTTACGCCGCACTCAGCAACATTCCAGCCATATTGCGGCGGTCTGTAAATAATCGAGTGTCAACCAAGTCAGCGAGCCTGACCACCCGATCCCGTTTGTCGCCTCTTACGACAAGCATGGGTTACTGAAGATCAATTCTAACCCGGATCTTCGCGGGTTCACATGTGTACTACAAATAATGTATCCTTGATGCATGTATATATTTTAATACAGGCCGACGTAGGGTACAGCTATAAATGCTACATTTATCCATTTCAATCAACAGGTGCATGTTTGTACATGGGCGTTTAAAGGATGCATGTAAAATGAAATATGGCATTTAAATATGTAATGTTTTCCCATCGATACCTAAAATATTGTTCCCGTGTTTTTGTGCATCATATATATTTCATATGTGTCCATGGACCTTTGTTCAAAAGACGATACCGCTCTGTCATATACTTCTATTTCAGTATAAGTGTACATGGTATTAGCTGTCGAGATTAAGTTAACTAGTGCAACTGCCAATGCAACTATAGCATGGAAAAATAATCCCATGAACGTTTACCTGTTGAAAAATGCCATTCACTAATCTGAGGGCAGAGAAGGCTGCGATATTGGGAGAGAACGCCAAAGCAAGACCGGCACCAGCGGTCAAAATGTGTGACAAAATAAGGAATGGTTTCCTCCCGAACTTGTCAGACATCCCCGATACAGTGGCCGCGCCAACCCCTTGTCCAACGATGAAGAGAGACTGCGGGAGGCGGGCAAAGAAGACATTCCCACAGACGAGATCCCACTATAAAACAAGTAAAATGTAAATACCCCAAAACCTATATACCACGTTTGCACGTCTTGTCGGTCATTTAGTTCTTGTAAACAAGTTTATGAAACAGGTTGTGTATTATATAAGACGATTATAGAAACTGTCGTAGATTTATAGGAAGATGAGCCGTACCTCAGGTTCAATGGAATGATCTCTTTCCATATCATATGTCCAGGCACTGCATGCATGTGTTGACGTGACATTGGTGGTGGTGTTCCGAACAGACACGTCACATTTGCCGTAGTTGGTGTTGGTGTCGTTGCCATAAAGTGGAATCACAGCACATTGTTGTTTCACAGGCTGAGCTGTTGAACAATGCATTGAGATGACAACTCCGAATCAATAACTATAACAGTTCTATTTTAGGTTGCAAAGGGAATGCGTGGTGACTGAATATATATTATCTGACTTATTACGTAAGTAAAAGGTTCCTCACTGGTTCGATTGGCTTCGTTTTATATCCACACATCCAACAATTACCTTGATATTTGTTGTGTTTTTTTTTTGGTTTTTGTTTGTTTGTTGTTTAAAGCCACACTCAGCAATATTTTTCAGCAATGTGGTGGTGGTCTGTAAATACTCGAGTCTGGACCAGACAATCCTGTGATCAACAGCATGAGCATCGATTTACACAACTGAGATACGATGACAAGTGTTAACCAGTTCAGCGAGCCGGGCCACACGATCCCGTTAATCAACGGGATGGGTTGCTGAAGACCAATTCTAACCCGGATCTTTACGAGTTCCTGGTGTTTGTAGATACAAGCTTACCTATGAACACGTAGTTGAGAAGATGGAAACAAATCGTCAGATTTCCAATACAGAGCAGAACAGCTTGAAACAACTGATAGCGTCCTAAGCTCCCAAGAAGTTCCAGGATACTGTCAATAGTTCGTGGAGGTTCCTTTTTAACGTCGGCCATTTTCAAAACTCTAAAACAAAGTTTCATCAGATTAGTTGTATACTAACACATTGTGAATGAATGATCTTCCAAAGCGATTTAGTCACAATGGATGTGATGTATTCTTAGTGAATACCTGTGAATGAAGAAATGAGAGATTTGTGGCGTTCTTCGCTCTGGTTGTGTTATTTAACGTTATGTCAGCTGGCTGTTATGGGAATGCCATTGATATCGCAGGTCGTGGATGTCAGTCACTTTGATGAAACCCAGTGATATCACCCGGGATGTAATTTTGACAAACCAAGCCACAAAGTCGAACCCATGATCATTGCTTGAGACACAGCGAAATCTGGAAAACATTACTAATGTACTGTCGGAAATAGAAAAAAAACTGTTTTGGGGCTGTTACTCTGTATCCCTAAAATTTACACAATTGCAAATAGCATATGTCGAAATAACCCACATCGGCCTAACTGGGCATTCAGTGGGATGCGTAATAGGATATACAGAAAAGCATGTTTACTCGTAAAATCGGGCAAAACTTTAAAAAAAACTTTAAATAACTACGAATAGCTGTTGAAAACAATAGATCAGACTATAGATGGCAATAAGGTCACTGGGCCAGGTATGATGACGGACCGTAAACTCATCTGGCATGAAATGCACGTGCTGCCTACACGCACAAGGGGTCATCTCAAAGATATTCTATGCGATTTCTTGTGTGTTGAATATGTCTCATATATTGATTAACATCTCACGTGTCTTTCTTTCATAAAGTTTATGTTGAGATATTTAAGTATGAAACCCATAGAAAGGCTTAAATCAGCCATCGTATTACATGTCTCAAAATATATAGGTAGCATGGCCACCCGATGATCGACACTACTGGATATTATTTGTAAATTGTTACTTGCCCAGTTTAATTCCCCTAAAGAGTTATCTTATCGTAGCTGATATCTCATGGTATGGTGTGATATATGCTAAATAAATTATCATTTCATTGTGATCAGAAAATAACAAGTAACAGAAATAAAAAAATCTTTAAAAAACTGTTGTTTTGTCCACCAACTGCTTCAACTAGAAGAGTCCACTTTTAGACCATAGGGGTGAAACTATTTTATCAACAGTCAACAGACCATGAAATGTTACTAAAGACTGTAGGCGAATTGGGATGTAGGCGGATAGAGAACAACCCCCCAGCCTGACCCCAGCCACCGTCTGCGACACCCGACCTGGTTTTGCTTTTGAGACGATACCCCATTGTCTGTTGGTTTTATAGTGGTAGTGAGACTCCGTGGTAGCTTCATCCTTAAGAGTTTCACAATGAAAAATATTATTTTGTACGTCAGCTATCGTTTCTAATGAAGCTAAGTCTAATTTCAAAATGGGCATTTAAATGTCCTTTGTAATACAATATTATCGCACACTAATTTGCATAAAGCCAAGGTCTGTTCCAAATAAGTCGACTTGGACTTAGACAAAAACTACATTGCTCATTTCTGCACTAATCTCTCCTCAGTAAAGTTTTTTAACGTTTCCTAGGTCCCCACCACTGAGAATGTAGTTAGGCCGAACTTAGTTTAACAGATATTTCACACTTTCACATATTAACTACATAAATTGTGGATATAAATGTGAAAAAAACAGGGGGTTTTCTATTTCTGACAATACTTCAGGTTTTATAACCCCTATTGTAGAGAATATGAGCCTTGACACTTGTTCTGAATTCATAGGAAGTGTATCACGTGACATAAGCTCCTGGGCCCCGTTTCACAAAGCTCTCGTAAGTCTAAGATCTCGTAACTTTCCTCGTAGCATTCCTACTTCCTTCACTGTAACATTGACTTACGATAGTCGTAACGCTACGACAGCTTTGTGAAACAGGGCCCAGGAGCCTGCGATCACTGCTTTATCTATAGACAGTGATCTATAGACACTGACTTCATTCTCACCAGAATCATGTAAATATGTTTGTAAAACTTTAATACTTAAATTTATTTTTTCTTTATAATAGCCCTGTAAGTATGTTGTGTTAACAGAGTAACGAACGTACGTCACTCTCCGAAGTTACTGGAGGAAATATAGATAATTCATTCATTCATTCATTCATTCATTCATCCATTTAACATTCAGTCAATATTTTATGTTCCTTTAGGTCAGGGGAACGAAGTACCCCTTGCTTAATAAGTCTCGATTTGAAATATAATTAGTATACTTTTCAAGTGAGAGCATTTTATCTGTGCTTGTGGGCTCAATGACGACATTGCTGGTTGATGCCATGTCTCTCCTATTACACTCAGGCAGCCTACCTATGTAGCAGGCACATGACTCATGTGACACGTACCATCAACTGTTTGTAAACGAGGTCTTTGTAACCGGCAAAGCTGCATTGGATAGCCAAAGCATGGATCAAAATCATGTCCTTTACTTCAGATAATGGAATAAAAGCTCAAAATCACTGCCATAATCATACGAAATATCCATAAACACTACTCCAGTGTATAACTCTAAAAATATCAATACCATGTGTGTCTAAACCAATATCAAATAGTGATAACTCAAGGTACTCGCGAAAATGTGAGCGCATTCGTCACATGCATAGGCAAAGGTTCGCCTGAAACGAATGGATGTGACATCGTGTAACATGTCACAGAGTCACTCAGGGGTTGCTTCTGACATTTAATGGGATCAATGTATGCCCCCCATCGTGTATGTGCATAAATGTGTTAGATGATACATGTCTCCTATTAAGCATGTCGGACGTCCTCAGTGTAAATTAATTATCGGCGTGGAAGATGTTAGACTACAGATACGGATCAAAGTATTGACATATATTCATGTCATTATGTTTTACCTCTGCATTGCCAAAAGGAAATACATCTGCTGGTAATTCGGATAGAATGCCAAAGAGAAGTACCTGCTGATAGGTACGGATAGGTTGCTAAAAAGAAGTACATCTGCTGATAATTACGGATAGATTGCCAAGATGAAATACATCTGCTGATATTTACGGATAGATTTCGTTATGTCATTGTCCAAGAATAATCTGACATATATCACAACATTGTTATCCTGTAAATATATGTGACATTTGCTAAAAAGACACACCTATAACCACAAATTAACGGATAGATTTCGCACAGGCAGTGTAAAGCTGAAAAAACCCTATACATTGGTGTACAAACGTCAGTGGCGTCATATCCCAAAAGCACGGATCGATATCCATAACGTCATGGATTATCTGGTTATTTACAGACCGCCTTCATTCAGCTGGAATACAACCTAATGTGGTGTTAAATAACAAATAAACACACAAACAAAAGGAAATATGACCTAGTTACACTAAATATAAAATTATCGAAATCACATCATGAATTTGTCATTGATGACATGTACATGTGAACAGTCAGGAAAAATATGAAAAAAGTACATACCGGGTCGTGGTTGAAGTCGCAAGTCAGTGTGTCTGATGTGGTGACCGTTACGTAGTCCTCTGTAAGTGTGGCGTGTACTTGAACATGTCCTTACAGAACAGGTGTAAATTTCCACTCGCACGGCAAGCACAACCTGGTCAAACACAAGCAGGTCAAGATCATGTTCACCCCTCGCCCATGACAGTGACACACAACGGCTATCTTTTTTACTTAAATAATAAACGACCGTGACAACATGAAAGACATTTCTCGTTGTGAGGCAAGTTAACCTTGTCATCGAGTTTTCAAAGCAAGAAATAGGATCAGACATCAGACAAAAAAGAATGAACTCTTCATGCAAGCTTCAAAGTTCATACACTTTCATTTTATTCTTGATGATAACGCTATCATGAACTTGCAAAAAGAGAACGACCTCTCGTCAAAAATCATCATTTAAAGCCAATGCAGCCTTCCAAAATGTTTGGGGACAATTTTGGGATGTAGATTATTATCTACCTGGACTTCCCATTTTAAGTTGATATATCTGTCCACTATCCAGAGCGGATTGGGACGTATTTTTGCGATGACATTGACATGAAAAATTTCAAAATCTTCGCAAAGTATAGCTAACGAGCACTATCCACTACATGAAAAAAGGGAACTTGATAACTCGGAGGTAGGTTTTACACGCTTGAGTATCAGAAGGTATTTATTCATCATATATCTATCTGTAACCATATTGTGTCCAGTTTTCAAAAACCCGTTACATCCAGTGGTAACCTTGGTGTGATGATTGCTTTGCGGAATATCTGGATTGGTGTCAGACAACAAACAGAGTACACATCACCAAAGGATCAGTGAGTGTGTGAGTTTTACGCCGCTTTGGAAATATTCCAGCAATATCTCCGCGGGGGCCACTGGAAATGGGCTTCACACATTTAACCCATGTGGGGACTCGAACCCGGGTCTTTGGCGTGACGAGCGAACACGTTAACCACAAGATATTAGTATATGACGTCACAAGACTTCTTCAAAGAGCATCCTATACGTGTTCAATGGGATTGATGTCCTTGGATCTCGATTTCCACTCCATGACGTCAATAACCGAAATTTTGTGGTGAAGTTTCATGTCAGCTAAAACAGCTGTGTGTGGTTTCGCTTTGTCATGTTGGAATTGGAGGCCTGAACCACTGGCAGCCATGAACGGCACCAAGTCGGGGACAAATACCTGGTCAATGTATCCCGCTGCACTTCCCCACGAATGACGTGAGCGACGTTCCAACAGAAATGTCCCCAAACCGTTACAATACTGCCACAAAGTCGATCAACTTCCAGTGACTTTCCGACGCCAGGTTCGCACTCTTCCGTCGGCAAATCGCAGCGTAAAACGTGATTAGCCGCTAAACACAACCCTAATCTATTCTCTCTGGTTCCAGCGAAGGTGGAACTGAACATTCTGGGGTTGACGTGTCAAGACACTCCATGACGTCATTTTGCAAGAAACGTAGCCACCTAGCACAGTGTCAGAACCCAGCAGAAGGACGTCGGGCACGAAGACAGGCAGCGCGCAAGCAGTTTCGTATGGGCCCCTGAACAAGGCGTTACTGGTTGATGTTGTGGTCATAAAGCAAGTACACAAATGACACCGAATTGAGATGGTTCCAGTACAGGATACTCCATAGATTTTTAACTACCAGTACATTTCTTAAAAAAGTTAAAATAAAAGATTCTGACGTATGTTCATTCTGTAATAAAGAAACGGAATCTATTTGTCACTTGTTATGGGAATGTGAATTTGTGCAAACCTTTTGGTCAATTTTTTTATCATGGTTAACAGAAGGTTGTGAGCACATACATGATCTCAATCTCACTATGGAACTGATAATTTTTGGCTGTAAGAAAAATGTTTTTACTGACTCTGTTTTTGACTTGTTCATATTATTGGGAAAATATTAGTTGTACAAGTGCAAGCTCGATTCTGTTTTACCAAATATTGCTCAGTTCAGAAGTGAGTTGAGATTGAGATATAGTATTGAAAGATGTATTTTCTTTAACAAAAGCCGTAACGCCGAAGTTTATTGTATCATGGCTTATTCAAAGACGACTGAATTAATTATATTATTAATATGTCTGATAATTAAAAATAATCTTGTACTTGTGTGAATGGTGAGTGAATGGATTGTCTTGTTTCGTAAAAAATTCCACCTGTATCCCATTAAATTACTGTATATCTTCAGACTGAGCTGTCCCCTGGCTGCTTAGTTTTGACTGTAACAGGGATATAGAAATAATATTTAATTAACAAAAAAAAATTACACAAATGACGTAGCTGAATTTGATTGTCTTCGGCATGTAACGTCACAAGTGGTCGCCCTGATCAGATGTTATCCACTTCAACCACAGGTTGTGAATTGTCCGTCTACTACATCTCAATGCACGCGTAACGGCCACAGTAGACTGCCAACCTGGAGCATGGTGGTTGCACGTTCACGTTCAACATTTGTAAGTCGTGGCATGAGAAGTGTATATCTCTCAAGGATTCTTTTTCTAATCACCAACAAATTCTGGATATGTGTTGGGGGTGAAGCACGTGAAAATATGGTCATGTGACATCGTACACGTTCAGGGTTGCGTTTTCACAAGAGAAGGTGCTGTACGCACACTGCAAGGTGCACCACAGTTGAAGTGGGCGGATGCATCAGGTTTGACCTGACCCCTATAGAGTACCCAGTTTAACATAATTCATTTCAACAAGTGTAAAGTTTCTTTTTTCTGTTCAGTTGATCTTGTACAAGAGTTGGTATGACGTATGAAACAACTTATATAATAATCTTGAATTAATCTTTAATAATCTTGAACTTGAATAAAATCTATGTTTTGACCCCAGATAACCCCTGTAGAATTCAGGAATGGGCCCTGTTCATCTCCAGATTGATACACGAGATAAAAGTTGCAAAGTAAATCTAGAACACTGTACCTGTCTTCTGGATGAAAGTAGGTGAAGTGAGTGGCCCTCGACAGTAGGTATACCCCTCAGACTGTTTGTTTAAACAACAATATCTCTTTGTTTGATTGTGTAAACAAATTCAATTACACCGCTGAAGGTACAACCTGTCCTGACAGACATCCCTTGATCCATCTGAACCGACTATGATATGCAGGCTTTATTCATGTCCTTTATTCATTCAGCAGAATCTGTGTGGGCCTGAAGGGTAACCCACTACCCTATGCAGTCATGTAGAGTACTTGCGGGGCGGCAGTGTAACCAATAGCTTAAACATTTGCGAGTACCCGATGCAGTCATGTAGAGTACTTGCGGGCCGGCGGTGTAACCCACCCAGAGCTTAAACATGTGCGAGTACCCTATGCAGACATGTAGAGTACTTGCGGGGCGGCGGTGTAACCCAGAGCTTAAACATTTGCGAGTACCCGATGCAGTCATGTAGAGTACTGGCGGGGCGGCGGTGTAGCCCAGAGCTTAAACATTTGCGAGTACTTATTCAATCATATTTTGTTTGTGTGGGGTGGTGGGGTAACCCAGAGCTGAAACATTTGCGAGCACTTGTTCAATCAAATAAAGTTCATGTGGGGCGGTCGTGTAGCCCAGAGCTTGAACAGTTGCGAGTACTTATTCAAACATATACATTTTATGTGAGGCGGTGGTGTAGCCCAGAGCCTGAACATTTGCGAGTACCTTTTCAGTCATATACATTTTATGTGGGCGGTGGTGTAGCCCAGAGCCTGAACATTCGCGAGTACTTATTCAATCATATATTGTAATAGGTTTTATTTGTATTTTTGTTTTATATTCATTTCCATAGTTACATATATACAAACAAATTATTGTAACAGAAGTGAGTGAGTGAGCATGGTTTAGCGCCGCTCTTAGGAACACTCCAGTAATATCATGGAGTGTGATACCAGAAACGAGTCCCACAGACAGTACCCATCAGATAGAACCCGGCGTGACGAGCCGAAGCTTTAGCCACTAGGCTACTCTGCCACCACGATATAGTCTATCTGGTGCGGCGGTGTAGCCCTGAGCCTGAACATTTGCGAGTACTTATTCAGTCATATACATTTTATGTGGGGCGGTGGTTTAGTCCATAGCCTGAACATTCGCGAGTACTTATTCAAACATATATTTTAATAGTTTATGTGGTGCGGCGGTGTAGCCCAGAGCTTGAACACTTGTGAGTACTTATTCAAACATATATAGTTTGTGTGGGGCGGTGGTGGGGCTTGAACATTTGCGAGTGGTGGTAGCCCAGAGCTTGAACATTTGCGAGTACTTATTCAAACATATATAGTTTGTGTGGGGCGGTGGTGTAGCCCAGAGCTTGAACATTTGCGAGTACTTATTCAAACATATATTGTTTGTGTGGGGCGGTGGTGTAGCCCAGAGCTTGAACATTTGCGAGTACTTATTCAAACATATATTGTTTGTGTGGGGCGGTGGTGTAGCCCAGAGCTTGAACATTTGCGAGTACTTATTCAAACATATATTGTTTGTGTGGGGCGGTGGTGTAGCCCAGAGCTTGAACATTTGCGAGTACTTATTCAATTATATTTTGTTTGTGTGGGGCGGTGGTGTAGCCCAGAGCTTGAACACTTGCGAGTACTTATTCAAACATATATTGTTTTTGTGGGGCGGTGGTGTAGCCGAAAGCCTGAACATTCGCGAGTACTTATTCAATTATATTTTATTTGTGAGGGGCGGTGGGATAGCCCAGAGCTTAAACAGTACTCTAAGTACTTATTAAGTCATATACATTTTATGTGGGTCCTCTGGTTTATTTGAGGATATTATTCAGTGATGTATCCATAGTATTTGTGGAGCGTCGGAGTATCCCAGTGTTGAAGCCTTTACGAGTACTTCTTCAATTTATGTGGTGTCGTCGGCAGACAAGTGTTGTCCTTCACTTGGCATAATGACATTCCAGTGTCCTGACATTACCTATTGTTGCTGGACATATTGCTATAGGCTATGACTACCAATACTCACTTATCATTACGTATGCCTTTTATTCATCAACATATCCAGTTGGAACATTATGACATGTGAAGTATGCGAGGAGTACTCCAGCATGGCTCAGAGCTGGGCCAAACTGTTGGTTTAGTAAGATGTCGGATTGGACAGGGTTTCATATCGGACATAAGACAATAACGTTTGATTTCGCACTTTCAAGTTCTTAACAATCATACTGTCCAAGGATTGACAACACATCTGAATTTCAACCAAATGTTCATCTAGATATTCTCTCTTTATGATGCAGGCCCCGTCTTGTCAGTGTCCTGGACGTTTAGTTTTAAGTTCATATTTCCAAGAAAAACTTTTTGTGACGCTCAACTGACATGCACCATCGTTATTGTGTGTCTTCATTGTTCTAACGACCCGTAAAGATCCGGACTAGATTTGATCTTCAGAAACCCATGATTGTCGTATGAAGCGACTCACAGGATCGGGGGATCAGGATTAGTAATTGAAACATGTCATCGTATGTCAGTTCCGTAACTTCCTACATTGACTATAGCACACCTTTCTTGTCCCGCCGTGATATTGCTGAAATATTGCTAAAAGCGGCGTAAAACTATACTCACTCACTTCAACAGAGTCAGGCGTGCCCTTACCCCCTCCCAGACCATCAAGTGGTAGGTCCCTCATCATAAAATTATTTTTACAACATTTATTTATTTCGACCACGATGAACATATCCAGATGTATAGAGGCATTACCACAGGGACAATAACGTTGTGAATTAGTAGAAATAGTAAGAGTAAAAAACATGCGTTTTATCAATCATTTATGATAAAAACTTTCATGTGCTTGAGGTGTTGGTACTTGGGTCTTTTGGCCATGCTTGTATTTCTTCTATAGTTTCTGGTAACTCTCTTCCTTGTGACTCCGGAAGCATCATCACCAAACCAGCTACGATTAAACAGCCCACACCAAATATAGTTCCAGGTAACCAAGGAATAGCTGATGCCTACAAACGTTAAACATTTACATGAAGACGATGAGTACAAGGAAGCACAACAGAAAAGATTCAGTTTTGAATTTTATCATTGTTAGTGTCAAAAGTCAATTACGATGTCTGATGCTTATGGCATCTACCATATGTTTTTCATGTAAATAATTGATTTGCCTTTTCATGTGTTTATGTGTTCATGTCAGTCAACCGCCTCTGCTGCTAGCAGACATTTCTAACTGATTAAGGCATTCATCAGAACTAACGATCCCTGGTTGTTTCATATGGTCTTGCAGCAGTACTTACAACCATGGAAGTGAAGGGTGAAATAGCAGCACCAACTCTTGCTGCCGTCGACCCTCCACCAAGACCAACAGTCCTAAAACACATTCAAAATCCCTGTTGAAAGTAAATTTACTTCAACTGAATATATACTCCCATCCCAATATGTAAGTGTAAACTTGTACAAAACCAGCGCTTACTTATTTCTTTAATCGGTTGGTGATATGAGTAAAACATTTAACGACGAAACGTATTTTATTTCGTGAGCAACACAGTTGAGATTACATCACATCAAAACAAAAATACTGACATATTAATAAACGTCCACTCTTCTCAAACTGTTTAAGCCCAATGTCAGATGAGGATAGCTTTAATGGCGCACAGATACAGGTGGCTGCTCCCATTATCAGACATACAAACCTTATATTCGTTGGGTACAGCTCCGGAACATAAGCGAACATGGCAGCAAAACAAGCAGAGTTCCCTATTTTCCCGACAAATGCGAAGGCTGTTGCAACGGACGAAGCAACAACGCCATCTGAAAATGATGCAAGTTTGTGACGCTTTGTTGGCACTCATTATTAAAATTCCATCTGAAACTGGTAAAAGTTTATGGCAATTAGTTTTTGGTTTCCTGACAAAGAGCAAGAAGGGAATCAGAAATTAATGCAAACTTCTGACATTTACCGTTTTCGCACCTAGCAGAAAGACCAACAAAATTATTTTCGCACTCATAAAAAAGAGCAAAAACGCAAAACGCCATCTGAATCTGATGTAAGTTTTTGACACTTAGTTTTGTATATCTCATCAAGATAAGCAACAACTCCATCTGACACTGATGCAAGTTTGTTGCATTTAGTCTTTTGAACTCATACAAAAGAATAACAATGCAATCAGATATTGACGCAAAATTGTGACACCTATACTTTTTCAAATTCAAAACAAGAGCAACGACACCATCTGAAATTGATTCACAAGTGTGTTGCAAATCGTCTTCACACATAAATTGTAAGGTTTATTTCTTAAACCACCTGATCACGTCAGCTGTACCTACCAGCCAGTAGTTTCAAAATCGTTGTCAGGAGTAGACACACACCAGACACAATGTGAAAGATCATGAAAAACTTCCTCCTTCCATATCTGAAAAATGCAAGGACCAGCAGATTTCGATCATCATTATAACTGTTAACAATCTTCATGTATTTCGTGGTTTGAAATGCTTTTCAATTCAATCATATAATTTTGCATTCAAGCACGATGGAATCAGTTGGGGTAGCAAATCGAGATTTGTTACGTCAACATATACCTGATGTAGAAAACGGGCACTGATTGTGTGTAGCACAACCACTTGGGAAGATAGAGAGAAGTGGAAAACACTTGAAAACTGAACTAGGCTTGCGCGGTTCAGGTATACACTACATATCACTATTATGTCACAGCACGCATTGTGACATAAACAGCTTGAAGGTTAAGGCTCTCTGTAGTCTCTTGAAATCCATCATCGTAGTCGAGCATGTTACTGCAAAACATTTTCATACATACTTTGAACGTTGCACCTGCTGGAATTGCCTATTATGAAACAAGCCTTGAAACCCTAACGATGGAGATTGACAAAACAATTACTTTCTACAAATATTCTTCCACACATTTTTGTACTTTATCTCAGTTTAAATCGATAGTGCTGTTTCTTTTAACTGAAATGTAAAACCATGAAAGTGCACATTTTCGGATGCTTCCATCAATATATATCGAGCAGCCTTTTATGGTGCTGTTGCCGCATGTCCAGCCTTTCTTATCGTATGCTATTAAAAATCCATTATTGTAATTATCTGTTTCGGAGCGAAAACACTTCCGATGTTATGGTGGAAAATCTTTGTTCAAAATTTCAGATGAATTCATGTTTATCTGTAAAGGTATGGATTTTAGATTCGTACCGACATCAGAGTTTTGAAGATCTCCCTTAACAAGGCACGTTGCAAGGTGTCGTATTTTGATTTAAGCTGAGAAAGCAAACACACAGGTATCTCTATGAGGGGTGAACCTTTAGAGAAGTAGGCCCCGTCGATGTTATATCAATATGAGTATGGTAACGTGATCTACTTCTCAAGTGGGTACGACTGCCTGTGTAATGTAGCCTCCCGCAAAACACTTGACCACAAAGACACGTAGAATCGCGATAATGAAGTATCGAACCTGGATGATATATCTGGACCTGCCTCCTCCAATATCTTCTTTTTAAAACTACATATTATACAAGTACTTAACAGAATCAGATTTTGTTTTTTAAATATTAAAAAACACGTGCATGGAAATGGAAATCTGAACTGATGTGTTTCCAGTAAACATGTAAAACAAGTCCATAAACGTAATATCCGGTGTCAGTACTGTGAAAATAAAACTCGGCCATGGGCACAGTGATCCACAAAATGACCTCGGTTCTGCGTAAGTAGTTATATATCCATACCAGTGTAGCTGACAGATCAAATAACTCCTGGGACGTCCCCATGGGCACCCGGAACGCATGTCTGGTTAGCATAAGTTAAACCTATATACCCCGTAGGAATTCGAGGAGGAATAATAGGTCGGTGGGCCCGCTTGCACAAAACGACCTAAGTATCACGACTGAACTATGTCTGACTGGCTGATTTTAGTTTTACGCCGCTTTTAGTGAGTGAGCGAGTATGGTTTTACGCCGCTTTTAGCAATATTCCAGCAATATGAGGGATGAATGCAGAGAAAGGGACAGCCAGGTGTTAGAGAAGCACGTGCACAAGTGCCCACCAAGTTATTGATTCATTAGCCTGTGCTGTGCCGTCTCCATCCTTTCTCGCACACCTGGCTGTCCCTTTCTCTGCACTCCTCCCTCGTAACAAATAGTGAACTGTGTGAAAATTTTAATGATAGTTTCTTAAAGAACTTTTTTGGTGGAGTCCGGAAAATGTTCAAATATAAGAAAGCTGTTGGGTATTAGTAAATGATAAACATGTGTACTATTTATATTTATGTGGCAATTTTGTACAATGATAAAATTTGCAATTCCTCGGTCCGTTTCTGACTCAAACGGACTGTAAACGGACTGAAGTTTCTTTAATGAAGTGAAAATACTAACCTCCTGCTGATGAACCAGTACAGTGGTCCTGCAGGGGCTTCAGCCAGCGAGTTGAGAAGAAAGTTGAGATAGAAGTTGTCGGCAAGGGATGAGGATGTCAGATAGAGGCTGAAGTATGTTAAACTGTCAACCAGCCTGCAACATTAACATGCAGGTGTATGTTTGTAGAAATGTTTTCATGTCCGATCGTTTCCGATTGAGCTAAAACCTGCACAGGTTCAGAGTAGTTCAAGCATCCATAGACACGAGCGCGCATCTATTAAACACGTAGCAGAACTCATATGATGATCTTTTAACACATTCGTATCCACAAACACAAATATAACACAACAACAATTATTAAAAGCAGTATCTAATGGATGAGTGAGTGAATCGTGTTTGAACAGCATGCTAATTGAAAGGGAACACAGTTTATGGATTGACCGAAACGTCGCATCTATTGCAATAAAGAAGTTGTCAGTCCTTCAAATGTGTTCCTCTTTATCATACCGGCTTCTAAATGCCCCTCAAAGGCACAATGCCACACATTTTCGACAATATTTTGGCCTATATTTTATATATCGGGGGCATATTCACTCACAGACTTATTATCCCTTTCTCCCTGAAATCGATAACTGAAACTTCGAGGCGAACAGCTTCCAAACAGATAACATTTGCCATATATGGAATGTAAACGATTGCTTCGTACATCAAAAACTGTCGCACGCGGTGTTGTCTGTGTTCGCCGAACTGTTGTTTGTGTTTGCGTTCCAAGGGACACAACTCTATGGGGTACGCTTGAAATAATGTTCGGCCGGTAGAGGGCGCCAGAGTCGATTTAATGCAACGTTGCATTAATTCATTCGAACTTTTTGATCAAATATTGTAATCTAAATACGTATTTGTTTTTAAAACAATATATATGGTAGCTTCCCTGAGGGCTGATAATTAGTACTATTGAGAAAAATGCATTATATGTATTTTTAGAGAAATGTGGTGTGAAATTGTGCCTTTAAAGAAGCCTTCTGGCTGTAAACTTATTCAGCCGTGTTAGCTTGGTGTGAGGGGAAAGTCCCAAGTGACACAGGCCGTAGACGTTTACCCACTAATGAAACCAACTATCATAACAAGACACGAAATTGAGGCGAGTCCAGATTCGAACCCTCGATCACAGGTCCATGAGATGCAACTTGGTACAGTGAAATGCTTCCCATTAGACGACAGCGCTAAAAAAAATTGATAAAGAGGGCAACTGAATTAGTGTTGCAAGAAACGCAACTTACCAAGTAAGCCAAATTATGATTGAAATCTTCAGCAAAAACCTGTTCTTGAACACATCCAGTACTGAGATTCTGGAGTCCGTAGGGATCTTGTTGATATCTGGCTTAGTTACGTCGCCTGATGTTCGTCGAAAATTTGTAGCTTGTGGAATCACAGTTGAAATGTCAATACAGTTGAATCTGGAAGCCTTATTCAGGATCTGAATAGCTTTGTCATCTTTTTTGTTTGCTATCAACCATCTGAGAGACTCGTCAAAGAATCTGAAATGAAAATACAAAAAGTATAAAGTCTACTGTCTACACATTAAACGATGGATGATATATGAAACACGGACTACAACGACGCACATTGTTATACCCTAATAAATCTACCCTGGTAGATACTATAAATTACTTTAAAATTGCTTATTAAGATACGTTGTAGGACATACCCGATGAGACAAATGTTTAAAATAGAACATTCCAAAATATTTCTGAAAACAAATCGGTGCCGTGCAATATATGACTTGTCGGACAGAATATTACAAAATATACACACACTTTCAAACTGCTTGTAAAAGAGCAATTGAATTACGTTGCATCGTCGTTATGAACCATATTAACATTTCAGTTGTATTTTGATGTGTACCGTTTGGTGAACCTGCCAGCTAGGTATGGCTGTTGGAGACCTGGAAACATATTCAGGTCGAACCTATAATTACTGGCTCCTGGCTAGAGGAAGGGACGTAATTCTGTACGGCAGAATTGCTGTTCAGTAGTGATATACGTACATGATTTGAAAAACCACAGCGATGGATCGGATGACAATACCAGCTGCAGCGTCCGCCATGAGTGATGACGTAGTAGGTAAGCAATGAGAGTCAGGATGAGAAGACATATGCACCAGTATATAGTATTAATCGACATTATGTCTAAACGCCGTCGCCTTGGGAACAGTTCCAGCACCATCGTACAGGACACCACTACAAACCCCTGAAAAGATTCATGACTTAGAACATCGACGTTTGTGTCGATAGACACGCACAAGCACAAATACCACTTAATGAATCGAGTGGTCAGTATTTGTGATATAATTACCTGTGACAATACTCAGACGGACAGTACAGTACAGTTGCTCGTAATATGAAAAAATCCATAGCTTACGGTTTACATGTAAGCATGCACGCTTGTACCACCCCACCACCAACCACCCCCACGCACATACATACATACATACATACACACATACACACACGCATACATGCATACATACATACACACACATACATACATGCACACATACATACATACACATATACATACAAACGTACACACATACATACATGCACGCATACATACACACATACATACATACGTACACACATACATACATGCACACATACATACGTACACACATACATACATGCATGCACGCACACACACACATACGTACATACACACGCATACATGCACGCACACACACACATACACCCGCATACATGCACGCATACATACACATACACATACACACACATACATACATATACATGCATACATACATGCACACACACATGCATGCATACATACATACATACATACACACACACACATACACACACATACATACACTCATACATATACACACACATGCATGCATGCATACATATATATATATACATACGTACGTACATACATACACATACAAACATACATAGCCACATACATACATACATACATACATGCATACATACATACATACATACATACATACATACATACATACATACATACATACATACATACATACATACATACATACATACATACATACATACATACATACATACATACATACATACATACATACATACATACATACATACATACATACACACACATACATACACACATACATACATACATACATTTGTACCTGTTGGAAAATGCCATCAATCATCCTGAGGGCAGTGAAAACGTGTATGTTGGGAGAGAACACTTGTGCAACTCCAAACCCAGCCGTCAGAAAGTGGGTGAGGAGTAAGAGCGGCCTCCTCCCAAATTTGTCAGACAGTACAGAAAATATTAGGGCACCTATTCCTTGACCCACAATAAACATGGTTTGTGGAAGACGACTGAACGGCACATCATCACAAACTAAATCCCACTGGAACAGAAAATGAAGTGCATTTTTCTCACCATAAATCAAATTTTGATATAAATACATCATGTAGTCACATGTATATCTGTACAATGTACAACCTGCAATATACTTTATTATTAGCATGATGGCGTAGCTGACATGTCAAAGAAAAATTGAGATAAGGTGAAAACAGACTTAATGTCACTTCAGGAGTATTGCATGTTCACAGCGACGTGTATGTGCGGGCGTGTGCGTGACTTTACACCAGCATACATGTAAGAAAGGGTGGAAAGAAATGGAAAGCATTTTATCTTTGATATTTGAAATTAGTATGAAATTTTCAAACTTAACATCAATATGGTTGCTTTAATCAAGCCATGATTGCTTGCAACAAAGGGTCCAACAAACTAAGCCCAGCGTCAAGAGCACGGGAAGTATGACATTTGATGACAGGACACACATTAGACTATGTGCAACGGCTAACAGTATCCCACTCTGCACACAGACCTTACTTCACACTATCCAGCCTTTCGTGTGCGACTACACTGACAGGCGAACATGATAAAAATGTTTATCAGTATTTTTTATAAATTTCTAAATATCACACATGAATTTCTAAATATCACACATGAATTTAAAAAAATATTGTCAGGTCATTCTTACAGATTCTCACTCATTTTAAATTGAAAAAGTAGTAAAGATTGAATGGACATTTTTTCCCATGTTTAGTCCAGTAAACTGACTAATTACAAGGAGTGGCTGAAATGTTCTAAGCCCAACAGCGATGGATATAGTTGATGCAGTTAGTTGCTGGACTGCGTGGAGCCCACACGAAAGTCTCCTCTTGTTGCGGGTAAAGACCCACAGTGCCAATAAAGTGCACATGGAACAACACACTTCGTCGTGGTAGAACAAGCATACCTTGTGAGAGATGATTTTTGGCTATGTGAGTGTTGAACATTCATAATGATATCATGAGTTGTATGTACATGTTCGTAAATGGAGACTGTTGAAAATCACCCTGGGTATGGTTCGTTTTAGAGGCCTAAAGGATAATACGAACGAAAACAAAAAACCTTTGATATATTGTAAAGGATATTGTAAAAGTCACATTCCGTGATTAAACTTGAACAAAAAGTTTGTAAAATAGCAATAAAAACACAAAAACGTACTCGTATTTCCGTCTATTACGGAAACACCCGACAGTTAATGAGCAGAGGGGGTATCACGTGACATGACGTCATATGTGCCTGTTGCTGATGGCTTCCTCTTTGATTTTACATCACAACTCAACAGTGGCCGTGGATTCTGAAGCAGTAAGCGATGTTCCTGATGTCATTTCTGATATGGATGTTAGACCGTATCAATTCGATCCGATTTTACATCTTGGAAGACAATCTTCCAGTGAAGATGAAGAAGAAGAATCAAGCGAAACGAAGGCACCGCTTGAGGTCAAAATAAATTTTAAAATAAAATAAGAATACTATTTGTCAGCAAAATGTCATACAGTTCAAACCAGCAATTCCTCGCCTATAAAAATATGACCAGTCCCTAAGAATTATCTTGCTGAAAAAATAGGATCCTAGTGCTCATTAATAACGTATCAAGTTTCCATACAAGATCCCAGCCTGGTCGAGCAGAGATAATATTTGCGACGCAGATAAGTTATTCTTCAAAACTGGTGAATTATAAAATACTAGTCAAGACAACGTATGTTTCCGTAGTCTTTGGTTATGGAAATAGTTGTGGTACTCGGTCATAGCCTTAGAATGGCATCTTGTCAGCCAATGAGAATACAGAACAACTTTCACGGCACACACTACTGACAAATAGCGAGCCTGATGCCGACGTGCGTAATTGGACAAAATTGAAAACAATGAAAGCAACAAGTACTTCATGATTTGCCGTTGTATTCGGAAATGTTTCGGGTAGACTGCAGCATTTAGGGCTTCAACCCGAAAAGAACGTTATAGCGAAACATTTTCAAGCTCATGTGAAATCTCTTACTGATTTTGATAATACATATCCCATGGCAGTCGAACTGCCCCAGCTACAAAATGCCCCAGCCAATTTGGTCATTCATTCTAATTTGGTCAAATTTATTTAAAATGATTAAATATATGCCGCAAATGCATAGTTTTTGTCAACTTTGATATTATGTTCTTCATATAAAAGTTACTAGGAAATAATATTTCTGAAAACATTTCCATTAGAAAACTCATAACTATGTATATACTTTTATATGAAGAACATAATATCAATGTTGACAAAACTATGCGTTTATGGCCTATATTTAATCATTTTAAATAAATTGGGGCATTTTGACTACCCCCCTGGGTCAACTTGACCAAAACTTCGAGGCAATTTGACCAAATTTGCCGGGGCAATTTGTAGCGGGGGCAATTCGACTGGCAATCGGACTTTAATCTAATTTATGTTAAAAATACCACTGACGTTGTTACAGGGAATGACTGAGTATAAAATGAATACATTCCTTCTTCAGCCTAGCTTTGGGATTTTCATACCCCATGTGTGCACGTCTCTTTCATATGCGTCCGACTCGGAATGATCGGAGCATTTATCGTGCCTAAATCTGTCTCTTTACTTGGAAAACGGAAGAAATGGTGGCTCTTTCCACTGTTCGATGATTCCATGCACCCCCAGGCAACGGAATACACCATCGTACCATTTACAAAAACGACAAAAACAACACGATTTGTATTAGTGTAGCGCTTGTTTTTTGGCAATATGGCGGACGCTTGTCACATATGACGTCACGAGCGGAAAGGTCACGTGAGTTCCAGCGGAGTATGCATAATGGCCGACGCTCAGACAACAGAAACTGTTTTCGCGATAAAAACATAATAAACCATACTTTTGAAATAAAAATTGGGTACATGTTTCTGATGACTTTATCTTTCACCCAGCAATTTTTTTCAATTGTCTAGTATTCTCTTTTAAATCTCCGCAAAATACTCCACAACACCCGCAGCAACAGTTGCAAAGAAAGCAGCAAGATTCCCTCGATCTGACACCATGGGTCGGTGTTGGAATTAGCCCTTTCAGAAACAGAAACTTGACGACGGTATTCAGTTTTCCCCGAATACAACAAAGTTATCAGCTATGCAGAAATACACAGCTTGGTTGTGCAATCTGTTCCAATGCAGCCGGTCAGTATTGAAAGCATTATCCTAGACGTCATGCAAAGAAGTCTTGTCCATCCTTCCTAGTTTGACTGAGAACGTTTAAGCCACTCCCTTATAGTGTCAGCTTTACAGAAACACCCACACAATGAAACTATCAACACATATTAGGAACCCGAGGCAATAGCTTACTTGTATACCAGTGCAAATAGACAAGCATCGGTTAAACCTTGTCCGTCCCAGACGACTACAATATATCGTGTCGCGATACCAAGTGTAGGGAATAGAGGTATTGCAACAATTCAACATATGACTAAAACAAAAGATCTTTACAATATGCCATATTAGTTATATAGGCTTAATGAATGGTACATTCATGAATGCATCCACACCAACAATATTTTCGATTTAGCTGTTCCTCATTGTCTGTCAATGAGAGCAGTTTTATGAAATCAAATAGGAAAATGGATCTTCTAAATATTCCGAATGACAATATGTGTTTCCAAAACAAAATGTGATAATGCCAACTGAACATGCAATGTTTTAGGACAAACACGTGATATTTCTT